ATACAATTTAGGTCCTTCCAAGACCCTAGTGAGAATAAAATAACAGTAAAGGAATACAAAAAGGTATAAAACTTGCTTCTGGGTTAAGAAAGGAGGTTGATACATAAGCTTAATTTTGCTCCTCTATTAAAACCTCATTAAAACAAAGTAAATATAGTGAAAAGATTTCTTTAAAAAGACATAAGTCCAGAAATACGGGGAGAGCAGAGAGGCAACAAGCACAAAATCATTTTAGAAGCTAGACCAGTGGCAAATTACTTAACAGACAGACCTGAGCATGCCAAATCCTAAACTAAGAGGAAAAAGCGAAGAATCTTCAAACACAAAGAAGTGTGGCATAGTTGCTTCTAGAACTTGAGGTGGAGAGGATGGCTTAAATACGGAATCCGGGAAAGCCAGTAAGAAAGAGAGTCCTGGATTTCAAGCTACAGGTACTGCGTTTCCCCCAACTCGGCAGAAGCAGGCAGGCTTCTTCCCTGGAGAGTGTAAGAGAGGGTCTGTGGACTAAGGGACACCAGGCGCAGATGGGAGAACTGGTGGCCTACACAAACAAAAGGAGCAAGCGACCGCGTGCAGCCACAGTGAGTGCTGAAGGCAGAGAGCCCAGCCTTCCCCCAGCAGACTCACAGATGCTGCCAGGCTGACCCTTTCCATCAGGAGAAGGACACCTTTGGGGAATCTGATCAACTCTCACAGACAGACCTAAGGAGACCATCAGTGAGAGTCCCCAGTGAGCCGCCCAGCCAGGCCCCCTACAGAGAAACTCAAAGGCTACACTCCTACCCATTTGTTCTAGACTTCAAATCCCCATGATTAATCATTAGCAGACACGCAAGGATTACCAGACACCTGAGGTCAAAGTTTCTAATGTGCAAGATTGAGACCAGGACAAATAGGGAAAAAAATTCTCACATAATTAGAATTATATGAGAAGAAAAAAATCTATATTATCTTCAGATATGAGAAGATACCATATGCATGAAACAAGTACAGGATGATATAAAAAAGGACATTGAGGGGCCGCCCCGTGGCTGAGTGGTTAAGTTTGTGTGCTCTGCTTCAGCGGCCCAGGGTTTCGCTGGTTCGGATCCTGGGCATGGCCACTGTACCGCTCATCAGGCCATGCTGATGCAGTATCCCAAGTGCCACAACTAGAAGAAGGACCCACAACTAAAAATATACAACTATGTACCAGGGGGCTTATGGGGAGAAAAAGGAAAAACAAAAAATGGACATTGAGAAAATAAGAGTTCTTAGAAATTGAAAACATGATAGCAAAGCTGAAAAACTCAATAGAAAGGATTAAAAGACAAAAGTTGAGTGAATCTCTGTCAAACAATAGCAAAATGACACAGTGACACCGACAGGAGATTACAAATTGAGGGACCAAGGACAGTACGTCCAACACATGAGTAACTGGAGCCCCAGAAAGGAGGAGCAGGAAGCAGCCCGCAGCACTTGCCACCACAGCCACTGCTCTTGGGACTTACGTGTCCATGCCCAGGCCTCCCAACCCAGACGGACAATCAGAAGATGACGGTGAATACAGACTTGGCTACTTTTTTCTTAATCCAGAACTCTTCTAGAAAACAGTGCTCGAAGAGGGTAAATCCAGCCACCTTTCTCTGAAGAAAGAATTCGGGTCAGGGGTTAACCCTTTTTTCTTCACAAGTGGCAAAGGAAACAGGAGATCCATCAAAGGACAGAAGAAGAGGAGAGCCAAAGAAAGAAATCAAGAAAACCCCAGGAAATCCTCCGGGAAGTAGAGGACAGGTACCAGGATGAGAGCTGGATCTAGAGGACGAGTCTGGTTTGGAGCAGGGATCCAAGAGAGAAATGTTAAAGCTGTCAGCATGAAGATCACTGCTGACTTCATGAGGCTTAGCTAAAAACAGAACGTAAAGGTGATCCTGGACCAGATTCTTATTTCTACTAGGCTTGTCCTGATGTGAGCAGACGAACTTCCTGCTCTCTAGATCAGCCAGAGAAATCAGCATCTCACCCCACAGAAGCCTTCAGCTTTGCCTTACTGCTGAAATCCAGAGGACAGCTGTGTTGAGTGCGAAAACAGAAAACCACAGCCCAAACCACAGAGGATATTTCTGCCAGACAATGAGGACCTAGCCTGTGGATGGCACTGTCACATGCCCTGACTGCAGTGGCCCCGCCCCTCCCATTACTCACTGAAGTCCTTGCTCACTGACTTCCCCAGAAGGGGCCCTTGTAAATTCCCAGAGAAGCTGAGGTTCACTCTGGCCCAGAGATCACATTACTTTTTCAGGTGACTTCATCTAATAGTGGCAACATTGTTTTTTCCCCATACAGCTAAGTTTGTGCTTGATGCCCAGTGTTTCTAACACTGAACACTACCTTGTTTCACGGTATCTCCATCAGGGGTAAAAATATACAGAAAAGCAAGCAAATGATTAAACCACAAGTCAGTACAGTACTTACTTTAGTGGAAAAGGTGGAGAATCCAACTGGGTTGGGTATCAGAGGGCTTCTAAGGTAGTGGTAGTGTTCTGTTCCTTAAAGACGAACACACTGTCTGCCTTATTATTCTTTAGACTGTATATTTACATTGTATATGTTCTTCTCTATGTATGACACATTTCACAGTTGAAAAAAAGATATAAACTCCTAAGGGCAAGGAGCGAAGGGGGAACCATCAAGAGGCCAGATCCTATAATCTGGAAGTTACAAGCAGATGAAAGAGCATGGACAGGTGAAATCAGGTCAAGGAAACCTGCAGGCTAGAACGCCAGTGGAAAGGAGCAGTGGAGAAGGCCTGGCTGACCAGGATGCGGCCTTGGATCTCCCTCCCGTGAGAGGATGATCATTCCAATGCCAGCCACGGGCCCCAATTGTGAGTTTATGCTTGCTCTGTGCCCCAGCCTGCACTTCAGTGTATTTCTCTCTGTCTTTGGCATCCGTGACCCAGGTTGCCCTCTGCCCTGTCAACCTCAATGGGGGCAGCAGCTCAGCTTGCCAAAGCCAAATGCCAGTTGGCCAGATGCTTTGGTCAGCCTCAGATCTCTGTCTCAGCTGAGAGGCCTGAGGCTTTGGGCCAGTGCTTGGCTCCTAGTCCAGGCTCCTTCAGTTTCTGCACCAAAGCATTAGATGTCAAGGGTCTCTTTCAGCCTCCGAAAAGTCATGTATGTCAAAGCTTCTGGGGACCGGCCCCGTGGCCGAGTGGTTAAGTTCGTGTGCTCCGCTTTGGCGGCCCAGGGTTTCGCCAGTTTGGATCCTGGGTGCGGCCATGGCACCGCTCGTCAGGCCACACTGGGGCGGCATCCCATATGCCACAACTAGAAGGACCCACAACTAAAATAGACAACTATGTACTGGGGGGATTTGGGGGGAAAAAAAAAGATTGACAACAGTTGTTAGCTCAGGTGCCAATCTTTAAAAAAAAAAAAAAAAAAAGTTTTTCCAAAAAAAAAAGAAAAAAGCTTCTGGCTCTGTGAGACCAGGAGTGAAGTCTCGTTCTCCACCCACATCACAGATGTCAGTGCAGGAAGGGGCCTTAGAGATGATCAGGTCTGCATAATCTTTGGAGGCTCAGATGCTGAGGCCACGAGAGCATGCTCTGTCCAAGTCCTCACGGCTGGAGTTGAAAGTCAACTCTGCCTTTCCAGAATGACCTGGGCCTGCATGAGATAGACAACAACTTGGGGCAGAGCCTCATTTGTCTGGGTCCCCCCCAGCCTTGGTCTCAGACTGGTTAGAGACAAGCACAAATCCTCTCTTGGAGCTGCCTGGAGGTGGACCCTGGGGGCTGCCCCACAAGGCCTCAGTGCATCCAGAAACTAACGGTTTGTGACCTCAGGGACTTAACCGGTCCTCCAATTTAAAAAGGCATAGTGGTTTTTTCCTTGTAATTATAAAAGAAAACTAAGTCCCCTATAGAAAATTTGGAAAATACAAAAAAGTCTAAAGAAATAAAATCACTCATAATGCCACAAGCGCAAACTGTGAAGGTTTTGGTATCATAATTGAGTTCTTTAAAAGAAACTATTCCTAAAACAAGCAGCCGCCGTACCATTTGCCGAGTGGGTAACAAAATCTATGCAGCAGCTGCCCCCGTCTGAGGACAGCACTGAGTCTGGGCTGTCAAGGAGGTGTGGGCAGCTCTGTGGACGGGTACACATGGCAGAGGGGTGTGCCCTGGGTCCCAGAGAGCTGCGCCGGTCCCAGCTCCTCTCAACTGCCACAGCCCCACACAGCTCTGTGACTCCTGTGGCCAAAGGTGAGGCCAAGACTGCAGGTCCATGGTGGAACTTTACCCAGCAGGAAAGAACCAGGGAGGCACCAATAACAAGTCTACCCTTGTTGGCCCAGCCAATGGCAGCATGAGGCTTTTCCAGAACATTCTGCTCTCAAGCTCCTCCAAGCAAAAAGAACAGAGTAGGTGGGCTCTGCTCTGACCCAGGCCTCAGGTTGTTTAATGAGGCCAGCCCTGGCTTCCTGGCCACTTTTCCCAGTTTCCCTGCCACTCTGGAACATGGACTTTAAGGCCCAAGCAGGCTGCTCTGGAGAGCCCTGCATGCTGGGTGGTAGCACAATGCAGCCCCATGCCAGGCTGGGCCCTCCTCACCTGGTCTGGCCCTTGACCCCTTGCAGACAGGGTCCTGACTGAGAATATTAGGGGATCCTGGTGTCCTTCAAATCTCCTTTGCTTTTCACAACCCATCCCAAACTTGCAGACCTGAATGTGAGCACCCAGGGGCAGGATCTGAGTCTTAAGCAAATCAGCCATCTGGCCGCAACCAGTACCTACGCTGTGCTGGACGGATGGACGAACACCTGGGAGAGGAGGACGGAGTCAGAGCAAAGCTGATGCAGCAGGTGAAAGGGGCTCCTGATTATCACGAGAGCTAGAAAGAACCTCACACATCAGCCAATCCTGGCCACATGCAGAGGGAGGAAAGGTGTGTCAAGTTAGGAATAAAGGAAAGCTGAGGGAGCAGGAAAAGACAGAAACAAGTGAAACACAGGTGTCTTCACCACAACCAGTTACAGAAACTGACCTTTATTATTATACTAAAGTCTGTGTAACTTTTGATACAAAGTAAGGTTTTAGTACAGAAAATCCCAGTCTGTCAGAACAGTACCTGCGCACACTGTACCATCACAGTCCCACTCTGTCTGCAACTCAGAGGAACAGCCCCAAGGGCATGCGAGTAAGACCTGGAGACAGCCTATGGTTGTCTTAGTTGTCTGAGCTAGAAAACTTGTACCTGTAAAACAAAGGGCAGCATTGAGGACTGAAACATGTCTCTTTTTGAACAATTGTGCAAGAAAATATATCCCTTTTTAAAAAATGTCAGTATGACTAAACTACAATCTAGTGTCTAGAATTACAAAGAATAAAATGAAATCAAAGATTTCTTGCTAGTAAAATGAAATGTTAGGAACAGTATTAAAATATAGATCATACCCCAGTGACACTTACATGGAGCCCAGTACAGTACCTATTATTAACAAGACGCACAGTTTAAGGAGGGACCACATCAAATCTTCAGCCAGAGACATCCAGCGTCAGAAGTGCAAAAAAAACCCCAAACGAAGAATGAAGACATCTTCATGGAGTACTGTTCATGCCGTGAGTGCTGTAGCCAAGACTAAAAAGATCCCAGTTTCTCTTTTTAGATTTTTGACAGTGATAACACTAATCATTACGCTTCCCCCAAGAGCTCTCAATGCAAAGTTTGAAACACGAATGTTTTCATATCAAAAAGAGCACTGTGCCTGCCCACTCGATAGAGTTTAAGAATTACCCTGCAAAAACTGCACTGATAAAGGCTGTCACTATTTACAGAACCTAAAAAGGACCCAGTGGCATGCATCAGCCCTAGCTTAACGCCCTGCCTGGAACGAGCTGTGTCATCATGAACCTATGACGCTCCAACGGACCAGACAGAATGCTGAAACAACAAATGCAGACGAAGGAGAAGACATGGAAGGCAGGAGAGAAGGTCTGAGAGATGAGTGTGTAAGACTGCCAAAAGTCACCTTCCCTGGTGCAGGTGGGGAGAACACTGCCCCTGGCGAGTGAGCCCCACAAAGGCACTGGTTCTGCCACCACAGATGTCTAAGCATCTGCAGTCGCGAGGTCCTTCCAGGAGAGGTGCCACCGAGGAGCAGGAAGTTTGTCAAAGCTCTGGTCCCACCGACAAGAACCTCCCAAAGCAAGCAGCCCCCGGTGAGGTTCCAGAGTTGTTTGGCTGAAAACAGGAACAAAATCAACACGAAAGCAACACGGGGGGTTGGGTTGATAGAGGGGCAGGGCTGGGCACCGACAACACGGAGCCATTCAAGTAAACATAAACAACCAAATACTTAGAAAAGGCTTGTAAACTGTGATCTGAAAGGTTCTCTTTGCAGCATCTCTGATCAGCTGGCTAAAGAAAGGCTGGTGTCAAACCCCTCTAATTGAAAGTCTTTTGTGGTTTTTGTTTTGTCTTAAAGCACAGGTGTAAGAGGAACAGTCCGCCAGCCCTCTGTATACAAAGGAGGTGCTTCTGGAGTCCTTGCTCATGGATCCTTCCCCTTCATGTTTATATACACATAGACTTCCATTTCTCATCACTAACGAAGAGCTGAGCCAGGTGTTCACAGTGGCAGACGAGCTGCAGTCACTCCCCAGCACAGTGATCTTCTACAGTGGGCAGGCTGGAATCCACAGGACCTTATCTTGCTCTTGATTGACCATTGCCAAGATCTGAGTGCAAATGCTCGACAGGGCTCCTCCCTGGACAATGCCTGCAAAAGAGCCCCAAACACACAGATCACTGAGCTCAGAGTAAGACCTCAGGTTTGAGGCAAATAAATACATCTTTTCCTCTTTCTCTTCTCCTGCCTATTCTGAGCTACTTGACCCTTCTGCCCTACTCCCACCTGACTCTCATCCATCAGCAAGGAATTAGGGAAGAAAAAGAAAATTGAGAGTTGAGTGCAAATCCCTTTGGCTTCGTATCTGTCCCTCTGGTCAACTGTTCAGTAGGATGCTGAAAATACAGGCCCCAAATGAAGGTGGGTGTCAAATTCTGCCAGGCTTTCCAGCGTCTGGAACATGAATGGCTAGGATTTGACTGCTCGCATAAACTGCTCACCCCCACTGCATGCCCTGGCTTGGGTCTGCCCAATCTTGCAGTGGGGACTCCAGTACATTGGAAGGCAGTTTGGGCGTGTGCTGTGATGGTCTGATAGGCAGTAGGATTCTATAGGAAGCAAGGACGGGTGTCAGGAGCCGGTACCCCATGGCCCAGAGAAGACGACACATCTCCAGCTGGGGCCCAGGCCTGTTCTGCAGGCTTTTAACACCAAACCTCAGAAGACACAAGACCATGGCTCTCGGTGTGCTCCACCAAACAGCGCCAGTAGACAACCCAGGCCCCAGCTGCTTGCCACGAGGTACGTACAGAAATTGACAGGGAGCATTTAGAAACTGCTATGGAAATGTGACAGAGTAATTTTATGTCTGCTGAATCTAATAAAAAGCCAAGGCTTGTGTTTTGTAAGTTTTGGAGTTTTAAATTTTCATGTCTCTAGTAATTGTTAATGTCTGCGATGGACTGGAAGTTAAAAAACACAAACATATATATAGACAGAAGGATGAAGATTGGTTTTTGAGACCAATTGTTGCATGAGAAGCACCAAATTAGATCATAGCACTCTCTACAAGTTAATTAAAATCACTGTCCCAGCCTCTCTGTGACTACAATGTCACTAACCCCCCTACAAACGACTGATTCTATGGAAGAGGTTGAAAGACACAAAGCAAAATGGCAGCTAAAATTGGAGCCATGCCTCTTTTGGTTTGTTTTGTCTCAAAGACCAGAGATGTAAGGACACCGCTTTTCTTGACCAAACCTCATGGCAAAACTGGACTGCCCTGGAAGGTGTGAAGGACAGATGGCTACAGCCACCACCAAGTGCTGCCTTGCCAGGGAACACTGGAGCTATGCTATGTAACACGTTTAAAAATCCCAGAGGAAAAGGCCAGACCAGGACCTGAGGCCAAAATTAGTGAACTTTATCTTTCAACGTGTAAAATTCCTGATGTTGCCCGGTGCCTGCAATCAGAACATTTGTAATAAAAGTGCTTACCGTGGCATTCACCAGGCACCCAGAAGTGTGGGCTATTACCGCTTTCCAGAACCATGTCTTTGGAAATCCTGTTTCCATCCCCACTCCCTGCTCTGCCTCTCCAGCTCAGATGCACCACCTACCTGTGAAGTACCTACTGTACTCCTGTTCAATCTTCTGAGCCGTCTCAAATTGCTCTTTGGAATGCCTCTGAGTCACCTTGTCCTTCAGGTAGATGGGGTCTCTCTGCTCCCTGTCAGGACATCCGGAGAACCAAGCTGAGCCTCTCGCCTCCCCAGGCCCTCCTCTTTCCATCACACAGGGGCCCCATGAGCTCCCCTCGTAAAGCACAGCAGTAGCCTGCAGCCCATGGGGAGCTCTGGGCAGAGGGGGGAAAGGTGGGTGCCCCAGTGCATGCGCACAGGGAGCAGGCCCTCGAGTGCAGGTACCAGAAGCTTCAAAGCACAGAAAGGCAAAGTGGAGGGGGACCTTGATGAGCTGTTAGCCCAACCAGTTTGGAAACTGAAGCTCAGTGAAAGTAAAGGTTCACCCAAGCCACAAGCCAGCTCCTTGCAAGCTGGACTTAGCCCAGGTCACCCAGTTCCTGCATCCCTGTGAGCACCAAGCTGAGAGACAGGAGAAGGGAAAGGGGGATGGGGCAGGAGGGGAGCTATGCAAAGCTGGACATACTCAAGGAACTGTGGCAGCACCCAGCAGGGCGAAGGGTGGTAGGCACGGAGGGCCGTGCTTGGTTAACACTGCGTGACTCTGAACATGAGGTGGGGGCTTTAGGGGGAAGGCTCATTCCTATACATGCCACCTACTTCAAAGCCAACAGCCCTGCTGCCTTGGCTGTTTAAGCCAGCAGCCCCATCCCGGCAAGGCCCCAGGCTCAGCTCCGAGGAGCTGGTCACCTACTTGATGTGTTTGGCGCTCTTGTAGTGGATGAAGATGACGATGGGGTAGATGTGCATGTGGTGCAGCCGCTCGATGGCGTGGGGAGCAATGTCCAGGAGACAGTGCCGGTTCTGAGAGGGACGTGGGGAGAGTGAACACATACAGTTCTACCCATGAACAAGGCAGCAAGACCAGTCTCTCAGGAAGACCACACATGATGAACCGTGGGGAAACCTTATCCTGGAAAATCTCTCCCCACAAGCTATCAGCTCTGATGGTGGTCGAGGCTGGGAGCCAGGGCCGAGTAGGGTCTGGACAGACCAACTCCAAACTTCCCTTCCTGCCTTTGCCCAGATATGGGGACCTTCTTAAAGCTCCACCCCTGCCCGGCTTAGAAACCTTCCTTCCGCCAGACGGAGCAAACGAAGACTCAAAGACTCTCAGCAGGGCCTGCGGCGGGGAAAGGTCACGCGTGTCTTTGCACGGCTGTGGCTGAAATGCGTCCTGGGGTCCCCTGAGCCTCCAGGTCAAGTGTGAGCCAAAGGAAGGCCATGGCACTCTGCCTATCACTCCCCCCAGCCCCTGGAAGCTCCAGTGAGGGGGCCCAACTGTTGGCAGGCTTTCTAACTTCCGGGACACCCCTGACTGGAGCTCGTCCACCTCAACTGGGCAACCGACACTCAGAGCTGTAAGAAGCCAACTCCTTCACGTAACAAGAAAACCAAAGCCCAACGAGGTGAGCTGACCTGCTGAGAAGGACCGAGCCCAAGGAGTGCCCACGCTCTCGGGGGCGGCCTTTCCAACACACTGCAGAGTTCCCTGTGCCTCCTCATGCTACCTGGGAAACGGGCCTGAAGACAGACAGCACCACCTGTAACCCTTTCAAGGACAGGGGCCCTGGTGGAAGCTGTGCATCGTCCCCAGGATAAGGCACACACAAAGTTCTGCACACAAGCCCAACAGAGGAATGCCAGGACCCTGTTGTAGAATTCCCTGTGAGAGGGCTTTCCTAGAATTCAAAGCTCTTGTGAGATCCCCTCAGAGGGGGAGAGTTGACACATACAGATGGAGACTCCTACATGCCTGCCCAAGGCTAGCTTCCTACTGATGAAAGCGGAAGCACTCGGAAGCAACAGGGGAGCCCTGAGTAGGTTAATCTGCCCTAACAGGACACAGGTGAGCTCAGTGGCCTGAGAGACACAGAAGGCCAAGGTCCAAAGGCACAGGGGGTCCACTCAATGCTTCAACAGTCACCTAAGCCTTGGTCTGAAGCAACAGGTACCTTTTCTGTGATCTCCTTTATGGAAGCCACTGTGGTCACGTCAAAATGGCCACTCCTCCGCTTGTAGTCGACAAACAGGCAGTCTTTGACGCCCCGCTCAATGGCCTGCTGGGAGGCCTTCATCACCTCTGCAAAGCACACACATGGGAATCAGGATGCCCCCCGGCACAGTGAGCTGTCACAGCACGTTCTGGGGAAGAACACTGTGCAGAAGAGCTGTTAGGAACCTGGTCCTGCTGTCCACTCTTCCAGAGAAAGAACCGGAAGCCAAGAATCTCACCCAAATCAGGAGGGCTGTGAAACACCAGAGGATCTGGCCCCAGGAGACAGGTGGACTGGACACAGGGACAGACACAGCCCAGAAGGCCCAGGGGGGAACCCCTTACCAAGGGGGCATCTGCAGAACTTGCCAGGCGCCTCGTTCACCAGCATCTCCTTCACCACGTCCAGCAAAGGCCCCAGAATCAGGACGGGCCTCAGGGAGCTGCAGTCTACTCTCTGGACTCGCTGATAGGCAAGGCTCACGGAATCTGAGGGGAGAGGGGCAGTGTCATGGGCACCAGCCTGGAGCAGACGGGGAGGGGCTGGGAGCCCACAGCTCACCTGACCTTGCTCACCCAGATAGGCCCACACCCTTCACTCCACAAATTCAGAGCCAGGTAGGGTGACCATCTCACCCCAGTTTGCTGGGACTTGCGCGGTTTCAGCACTGAGAGTCTCACGTGCCGGGCACACCAGGGCATGCTCACTCCTGGAGTCCAGCACAAGTGTCCCCTGCTCCATGAACACTTAAGGCAGTCAGTCTTTAACAGTCATTTCAGCACTTTCTTCTGCTCAAATTCTCCCGCATGTGCCTTAGGCCTGCTCCCCTCATCCCCAGTATCCATTCTCCGCTCTCTAGAGATACATCCTCTGAGGTTTAGCAGGTATAATCTCTCCTGCAGGAAGGCATGGTCAGGTGACCCAGACCTCCCCAGTGTGGTGAGCAGAGGCAAAGCCTGCACTTCCTCACCCCCTTCCTATGGGCTGAAACACAGGACCAGGTGCTGTGAGCCACCTCTGACTCCGCAGATGAGGACAACCCTTAGAAGATGGCATGCTACAAGATAGAAGGGACCTGGGTCCCTGGGTGATTCCCCAGAACAGAGCTGCCTCCCTGGGACCACCTGCCAGCTCAGACTTTTACATGGCGGAGAAATAAGCTTCCTATCATGCTTGGGCCACTGTCATTTGGTCTCAGTTACAACAGTCAACTAGTGTCCTAGTTGATATGTGTATCGTCTCCCACCAAATGAATAAAAAGTCCCTGTGGAAAGAGAGGTCTAAAAACCAGCACACAACTCTTTTCTTGGCATCTTCCTGGTATCACTGTGCTGGCATCTTGGAAACACTTTAAAAAGAATATAAAGCACAGCCCTTGCCATTAAAGTCAAGCTCACATTCTAATCAGCATCACATGTCTAGGACAGCAACACATGAAAAGCAAGATAACCATACAAGAGCTGCCCAAGAGCTCCAGGCAGCAGAACAGGAGAGCCCGGGGAGCGGCAGAAGCGAGAGGAACACTATGTGGATCAGAGGATGCAGAGACCAGAAGGCCAGGTGGGATGGGCGCTGCGCCCAGGCATGGCATGGCAGGACGGTGGGTGATGGCGACGGGGAGGGGCAGAGCTGAGGTGAGGGTAGGCTAAGGTGGATTTGTGAGGAAAGGTCAATGAGAGGGTCAGCCTGGAAGGCCTATGCACAACTATACAGCGAGGCTTAACTAGGAGATGAGGAAGGAGGGGCCAGAAAGCAGAGCTGTAAGTGAACACACAGCACAGTGCTGGGTACAGCCTCAGCTCCCTAAGAACCGAGCGCGTGAGCAGAATGAGGGGGAAGTGAACACTCCCCCCTTCCCTCATCCACACCTCCACATGTATTTTCTAGGACTGGTGATTATCCATGTACATATAGATGGCTTTCTGTACAGCATGTCTCAACCTGGTGTCTCATCTGCTAACAAGGCAGGGGGAGGTTTTGGTGACCACATTCGCTGTCCAAGAACCCCAAGCATTTTGGACCAAACACTCTGAAGAGCCTCAGGGCAAGAGATGAACACATCCTCTCTTTTAAAAATTAGAATACTACAGATAAAGCCAAACATCCTCTTCGATGTCTTTTCTCCAATCCTGGTCCCCACCAGCTTCCTCAGAAGTAACCACTATCATGAGCTGGACGTATACCCTTCCAGATGCTTCCCTATTCTTACATGTTGATTTTTATATGCTCAAAAAGACTAGAAAATATGTTGTGTATGTGTGTGTTCCAACAAAAATGGCACGATACTGTAAAATCTGCAACTCCTTCTTTCACTCAGTGTTATGTTTCTGGAAGGCATCCGTGTTGACTCATCTTGATCTCTTTTATTCCTCTTGAACATCCCACACATGGATACACTACATCTATTTTTCCATTTCCCTGTTTATGGTCATTAAGTCACTGTTCTTCTCAACTTACTTGAAAAAGAATCAGGTAATGACTGTTAACATTCCACACTGTGAGGTACCAATTAGAAGATTCTGTTCCTCCCTGAATAATCTGCTTCACTGAAGTCCTCCTAATTACAGAATCATAAGGCTAGACAGCATCTCAGCAGTCAATGAATCCAACCAGAGTAAGCAGCCCAGAGAAAATGCAAAACTCCCAGGTAAGGGTAAATATACAGACAGACAGAGAATCTGGAAGTAATGTGATATAGATGCATAAATCACTTTCAAATCTGGTATAGATATTAAAAACCAAAAGCTAAAACTAACTATGTCTATGCTAATAAATACACATTATAAAAAGAGGTAATTGGTACCATCAACAACATAAAGTGGGGGGACACAAAAATATAATTTTATATGAGATTGTAATTATCAGTTTAAAATGGACTGTTATAACTTTAAGATGTTTTACATAATTGCAATGGCAAGCACAAAGAAAATATCTATAAAATATACATGAAGTAAAATGAGAAGGGAATCAAAACGTTATTACAAAAAAATTAATGAAACACAAAGGAAGGCAGCAAGGGGGGAAAAGATGGACAAAAAAGCTAAAAGACATACAGAAAACAACAAAATGGCAATAATAAGTCCTTTCATATCAGTAATACGTTATATGTAAGTAGATTAAAAGCCCCAATCAAAAGACACAGATTGGCTGAATGGATAAAAAACAAGACCCCACCATACGCTGTCTACAAAAGACTCACTTTAGACCTAAGGACACACGTAGGGTAAAAGTCAAAGGATAAGAAAAAGATATTTCCTGAAAACTGGAACTTAAAAGGAACAGGGCTGGCCATAGCTATATCATGCAAAATAGATTTTAAGACAAAAATTATCACAAGAGACAGAAAAGGACACTATATAACAATCAAAAAGTCAGTTCTACAGAAAGATACAACAATTATAAATATATCTGCATCTAACATTAGAGCTTCCAAATATGCAAAGCTCAAGCTGACAGAAGTGGAGGGAGAAACAGATAGTAACATAATATTAGTAGGGAGTTCAATGCCCCACTTCAGTTACAAATAGAACCACCAGAAAGAAGATCAGTAAGGAAACAGAGCACTTGAATAACACCATAGACCTAATAGGTACACACAGAACACTCCACCCAACAACAGAACACACATTGTTCTCTAATGCACATGAACGTTCTCTAAGATAGATCACATTAGGCCACAAAACAAGTCTTAACAAATTTAAGACTGCAATTATACAAAGTATCTTCTCTGACCATAACGGAATGAAACAAGAAATCAACAGCAGCACGAAAGTCTACAAATGTGTAGAAATTAAAACAACTCACCCTTAAACAACCAATGGGTCAAAAAAATAATCACAAGGGAATTCAGAAAATGTCTGGAGACAAATGAAAATACACAACACACGAAAAAGTATGGGATGCAGCAAAAGCAGTTCTAAGAGGGAAGTTTACAGTGATAAATGCTGACACTGAAAAAGAAGGATCTCAAATCAACAACCTAAGTTTACACTTTACAGAACCAGAAAAAGAACACACTAAACCCAAAATCAGCAAAAGGAAGGACATAATAAAGATAAGAACAGAGATAAATGAAATAGAAAATAGAAAAAAAATCAATGAAACCAAAAGTTGGTTTTTTGAAAAGACTGAAAGACATTTTTAAGACAAACTTTAAGGTCTTTAAGACCTTTTAAGACAAACTCTTAGCCAGACTAATGAAGAAAAAAGCAGAGAAGACAAATAACTAAAATTAGAAATGAGACAGTACATTTCACAAATTTAAAAAATTATAAGAAATTACCAATTATATGTCAACAAATTGGATAAGTGATAAGAAATGATAAATGACTAGAAACACACAACCTAGCAAGACTAAATCATGAAGAAACAAAAAATCTAAACAAACCTTAACAAGTAAGGAGATTGGAACAGGAACCAAGAAACTTCTCAACAAAGAAAAGCCCAGGACTAGACGGCTTCACCAGAGAACTCAACAAACATTTAAAGAAGAATTAACACCAGACCTCTTCAAACTTTTCCAAAGAACTCAAGAGAGAAAACTTCCAAGCTCATGCTATGAGGTCAGCATTACTCTGACACCCAAACCAGCTAAAGACACAAGAAAAGAACACTACAGACCAATACCATTGATAAATACTGATGCAAAAATCCTTACCAAAATATTAGCAAACTGAATTCAACAGCATATTAAAGCGATTATAAACTATGACCAAGTGGGATTCATACATGGAAAGCAAAGATAGTTCGATAATCAAAAACCAATCAATGTGATACACCACATTAACAAAATGAAACACAAAAACCACATGATGATCTCAATTGATGCAGAAAAAGCATTTGACAAAACCAACACCCTTTCACGATTAAAAAAAGAAAACACTCAACAAACTAGGAATAGAAGGAAACTACCTCAACATAACAAAAGCCATATATAAAAAGCCCATGCTAACATCACACTCCACGGCAAAAGACTGAAAGCTCATGCTTTCGGTTTGAGATCAGGAACAAGGCCAGGAGGCTACTCTCGCCACTACTATCCAACATAGTACTGGAAATCCTAGCCAGAGAAATGAGACAAGATAAAGAAATTCACAATAGGCATCCAAATTGAAAAACAAGAAGTAAAATTATCTGTTTGCAGATGACATGATCTTTTATGTAGAAAACCCTAAAGAATCCATTAAAAAACTGGTACAACTAATAAGTGATTTCAGCAAAGTTTCAGGGCACAAAATCAAAACACAAAAATTAGTTGCATTTCTTAATACTAACAATGACCAATCTGAAAAAGAAATTAAGAAAACAATCCCATTTACTATAGCCTCAAAAAGGATAAAATATTTAGGAATAAACCAAACCAAGGAGGTAAAAGACTTGTATGCTGAAAACTACAAAAAACTACAAAACATGGCAAAAAGAAATCAAAGATATAATAAATGGAAAGATATTCTGTGCTCGCGAATTGGAAGACTCATTATCATTAAAATGTCCATACTACCCAAATCAATCTATACAGATTCAGTACAATCCGTATCAAAATCCCAATAGCATTTTTTTGTAGAAACAGAAAAAAAAAATGCGAAATTCATACAGAATCTCAGAGGACCTGGAATAGCCAAAACAATCTTAAAAAGAACAAAGTTGAAGGTCTCATACTTCCTGATTTTGAAAAATACTGCAAAGCAACAGTAATCAAGACAGTGTGGTAGTGGCATAAAGACATATATTTAGAGACCAATGGAACAGAATAGAGAGCCTAGAAATAAATGCTTGTATATAAGGCAAAATGATTTTTTTTCCTGCTTTTTTCTCCACAAATCCCCCCAGTACATAGTTGTATATTTTAGTTGTGGATCCTTCTAGTTGTGGCACGTGGGACGCCACCTCAACATGGCCTAATGAGTGGTGCCATGTCTGCACCCAGGATCCAAACCCTAGGCTGCCGAAGCAAATCACAGGAACTTAACCACTCGGCCATGGGGATCGGCCCCCATAAGGCAAGCTGATTTTTGATAAGGGTGCCAAGACTACACAATGGGGAAATGAAGTCTCTTCAACGAACAGTGTTGTTAAAACTGATGTCCACATGAAAAAGAGTGAAGGTGGACCCTTATCTCACACCATATACCAAAATTAAACCCAAATAGATTAAAGACCTAAACATAAGGCCTGAAACTATAAAACTCCTAGAAGAAGACATAGAGGAAGAGTTTCATGACATTGGTGTGGGCAATGATTACTTGAATAGGGACAAGAAAAGCACAGGCAAGAAAATCAAAATAGACAAATAGGACCACATTGAATTTTAAAACTTCTGTGCATCACAGTAAACAAACAACAGAATGAAAAGACAACCTACGGAAGAAGACAAAATATCTGCAAATGATGTACATGTGTGTGTGTGTGTGTGTGTGTATCTGAAAGGTTTATATCCAGAATTTATAAGAAAGTTCTAGAACTCAACAAAACAAATAATTTGATTAAAAATGGGTGAAGGATTTGAACAGACAATTCTCCAAAGAAGATATACAAATGGCCATCAATCATATGAAAAAGATGCTCAACATCACTAATTAAGAGAAATGCAAATCAAAACATTGAGATACCACCTCACACCCATTAGGATGGCCACTATCAAAAGAAACGAGCAAACGGAAGATAACGGGTGTTGGCAAGAATGTGGAGAAATTGGAACCCTTGTGCACTGCTGTTGGGAATATGAAATGATACAGCTACTATGGAAAAGAGTATGGTGGTTCCTCAAAAAATTTAAAAATAGAATTAACATATGATCCAGCAATCCCACTTCTGTGTATATAGCCAAAAGAATTCACAGCAGGATCTCCAAGAGACATCTGTACACCTGTGTTCATCCAGCATTATTCACAGTAGCCAAGAGGCAGAAGCAATCCAAATGTCCATTGACAAGTGAATGGATAAAGAAAATGTGGTAGATACATACAATGAAATACTATGCAGCCGTAAATAAAGAAGGAAACTTGTCACATGCTACGATATGGATGAACCTCAAGGATATTTTGCTAAGTGAAATAAGCTAATCACAAAAGGATAAATACTGTATTATTCCACTCATATGAAGTATCTAAAGTATTCAAAATCATAGAAATAGAAAAGGTGGTGTGGCTGTAAAGGGTTGGGGCAAGAGGGGAGGCGGAATTAGTGTTCAGTGGGTACAGAATTTCAATTTTGCTAGATAAAAAAGTTCTAGAGATCTGCTGCACAACAATGCAAATATACTTAACACCACTGAATTGTACACTTAAAAATGGTTAAGATAGTAGGTTTAAATGTGTTTTTTACCACAAAAATATCAAACAGAAACTAGAACTGAAAAATGCAATTTCTGAAATAAGAACATTGGACACAACAGAAGAGTGGAGTAATGAAGAGGGAAAGTTCAGTGGAAAATATCTGAGCTATCCAGGTTGAAACACGGAGACAAAAAAACCAAAAACACAGAAAATAGAGGGGGAAAAGAAGGTGTAAAACACATATGGACATGGTCAAAGAGCTAAGATGCAGGAGTGGAAAGACAAGCACAGAAGTAGTTTTAAAGAAACACTGGCCAGGCATTTTCCAAAAGTGACACTGTTCTGTACACACATTATACTTCAATAAAATGAAAAAAAGAGATTGTCACTGTGGGTTGAAAAAACCCACATGCTGCTTATAGGAAACATTTAAATATAAAGCTACAGAGGGGCCAGCCCGGTGGCCAAGTGGTTGGGTTCACGCACTCTGCTTCGGCAGCCCAGGGTTTCGCCAGTTCAAATCCTGGGTGCAGACATGGCAGTACTCATCAAGCCATGCTGGGGCGGTGTCCCACATGCCACAACTAGAAGGACCCACAACGAAGAATATACAACTATGTACCAGGGGGGCTTTGGGGAGAAAAAGGAAAAAATAAAATCTTTAAAAAAAAAAAAAATACATATATATAAAGCTACAGAAAGTTTAAAATAAAAGGATGAAAAAAGATGAACTATGCAAATGCTAACCAAAGGAAAACTGGTACAACAATAACAATATCACACAAAACAGAGTTCAAGGCAAGAGACGTGACTAGAGATAAAGAAGGACATTTCATGATGACAAAAGGGTCAACTTACCAGGAAGATATAACAATTCAAAAGGTGCGTGCTCTTAAAGACAACTTCAAAAAATATAATGCAAAAAAACCCTGAAGAACTAAAAGAAGAGTAGACAAAAGGCTATTTTTCAAAGACAAACATATCTATTGGACATCCACTGACTACTCCAGAGACGGTGTCTATGGGAGAAAAGGGAGGGGGGATATGAAAGCGGAGGTCAAAGAAATGAAAGGAGAAAAAACAAAAGCAATCTAAGAGAGAAACCATGCCTTGAGTAAGGGGTCGGCAGACTTCTTCTGTAAAGGGCAAGAGAGTAAATATTTTAGGCTTTGAAGGCCAAAAGGCAAAATCAAGCAACTATTATTGCCCAGTGACTAATACAGTCTTCACACATTTTAAAGTCTAAGAACCCATTCTTAGCTTGCAGGCCATACAAAAACAGGCAGTGGGCTAGATTTGGCTCATGGGCTGTGGCGTCTCAAGCCCTGTCCTGACTGACATGACAGTGGGCCATGAACATAGGTAGGATTCACTCAACTTGCTGTGCCTAAGGCCTTAATTTAAAAAATTAAGAAAGAAGGAGGGGAAGAGGGGAGGGAGCAAGGAAAGGAGGGAAGAAGGAAACCTGCTATCCTACCTTCTGTTGCTCAAGGCCACCTCCCCACCCTGCCTGCCCAGGAGGGCACACATTCTAGAACAATGGACGTACATGCGGGGTCCCAGGAGCAGCATTCATGAGAGCCTCCTGCTTTACAGGACAAATACAGCCTTTCCACAAGGGTGACCTCACAGGGGATCTGATACTCCCTAATATGCAACTCTGGGCCTACATCAGCACCCGGGCCTGGGAGGATCTTGTAAGAATCATTAACAGACACAGGGAGTGAGGCCAGAAAAGGCCAAAGATCTGCAGAGACTGGTGGTCAGTGGTCACCACCGAGCAGCCTGTAATAACCCAAAACAAACTACAAGCAATACATTGAACAAAAACTGCTTTTTGCCCGCTTAATACTTCTCCTTCCTTTCTTCCTTACTAACAGAACCTGCATTACTGAGGCCAGCAATGCTCCAGCCAAAAACCTGCCTTTTCAGCCTCCCTTGCCCATGCAAGTGGCCAATGAGATGTAAGTAGAAATCAAAGGGTGGGGCTTCCAGGGAAGCTATTTAAAGAGGTACACTAAACTGAGGCACACTTTTGCCTTGCCCCTTCCTCCTTCCTGCTGCCTGAACATGGACGTGATGGATGGAGCTACAATGAAATGTGGTGACCACGGGGAAACGTTAAGGATGGAAGCCATGCCCTATGGATAGTAGACTCTGAAGACACCAGCACCACCATCCCAACCTAGATGCCTACCTCCAGACTACTTCTGTGTGAAAGTAGGCAAATCTCTATCTTGTTTAAGTCACTGTTGTGAGGCTTCTGTGGTTAACAGCAAATCTAATCCTGAGAGCCTGTTAAAAAAGCAAGCTCAGCCACTTGCCTTCAAAGAGTGGAATGGAATCATTGGAAAAGGTGTCCAAGGCAAGAAGGTCTTTCCCATCTTTGGACCCACTGCGTTTGTGCTTATGTTTTCTTCGAAAGAAGGATCTGCGTGCAGCCGCCGACAGCGTCTTTGCAGTGGCGTTGTCGTCTTTGACTTCAGACATGCTGAGCCTCCTGGAGAATTCTTGGTCCATCCTGCAGTCACAGGGAATGGCAGTGCTGGGTGGGACCACAGGGACCATCTCCTGCCCATCCTGCCCATGAGGAGAGCGAGAGCTGGGACTACAGGCTCCTCCAACACTCCTCTGCAGGTTTCATGGCAACTTCACCCACCCACGCCGAGGACCCCTGTACCACTGCTGTGGGGTCGACACAAGCACCAGAGCTGGGGGCAAGCTCTTAGAGAAGACCAATATCTATATTCAGATGAGTGTCAAAGGAATTGCTAGACAGCTTTCACTTGGTGACATTACAAGTTACATTTCCTGCCAGAAAAAAGAATGAGGCACTGAAACACACTGCAACATGGACAGACCTTGAAAATACAATGCTAAGTGAAAGAAGACAGTCACAAAAGACTACATACTATATGATTCCATCCACATGAAAGCCCAGAACAGGGAGATCTACAGACACAGAAAGTAGGTGAGTGGTTGCCCGGGGCTGGGGGGAGGGGGTGAGAGACAAATGATGAGGGGCAATGGCGAAAGGGGACAGGGCTTCTTTTGAAGTGAGGAAAATGTTCTGAAATGGACTGTGGTGATGGTTGTACCTATCTGTGAATAGAATAAAAGCCACTGACTTGTACACTTTCGGTAAATTGATTGGTACATGAATTATATCTCAATACATCTGTTAAAAAAATTATGTCTCCTAAGTTGCGACTGTGCTTCCGTATAGCACTGACTTACGTACAGCTTTCTGGACAAGCAATTTCAGCAAAAAGTATAGACCAGAAGCTGAGATGAGCAGCAGAATGAGTCTTCCAGCATCCCCGTCCCCGGCCCTCATCTTGTGGGAAAGCTCCATGGATGCTACCCCCACCCCACTCCCAAGGTCAGACATGGAGAACACTTACACATATTTGCTGGGGATCTGCCCACGCTGGATCTTCTGGGCGTTCTCGTCCAGCTGCCAGGCCATCCAGGACCCAAATGTGCCCTGGGGCAAGGTGTCATCAACGTAGAGGATGTCGTCTTTCTTAAAGCTGAGCTCATGCTCCACCTCTGCCAGCCGGTCGTACAGGGCCCTAGACGAAGTGACAAAGGGAAGAGGATCAGGAGACTTCTGGCTGCTGCAGGACAAGTCACACATCGTGGCAGCCAGACTCCTGGGGCCACTCTCCTCTGCTCTGAGCTTTCCCCAGACCATGATCAGGACCCACTTTTTCCCATCCTGGTGGCAGTTCCCAAAGGAGGGAACCCAGACTTTACATACAGGACAAAGAAGGTGCCTTTCCTCCTCTGAAGTCAGAGGCTCCCTGGTGATAAGAGCTGCCTCACGCCTATCAGATAAAGAACTTCTGGCCAAGGACCAAGGCCATACCTCCCCTTCCAAGTGGGCCTTTCCCAATTGCCTTTCTCCCCCGAGTCAAGGCTCATGGCTCCTACAGATTGGAAACCCCCCAGGATGCAAACATGTCATTTCCCACCCAGGAGGGGGTCCTAGAAACAGGGACCCGTACCTCATGGTATACAGTTGATCAGTGTTTTTATTCTTTTTGTGGCCTCAGATTTTAGGGAATGTGAAGCAAGCTCTGAGGCCCTCCTAGAAAATGCCTGATGCCTGCCACCTCACACATTTCATACAGCACTTCAGGGCACTGTGGCTACCTCAACATCTACAAACCTGCAGAGGGACCTGCAGACCCTGGTCAGGGGGAGACCAAGAGAGGAATGCAGCCCACATGAAAATGGGGCTCTGCAGCCTCAAAATTCCCCAGGCCCCAAACCCTAAAGAGGTTCTCAGCCTTCCATCTGGGTCTGTAAGCCCTTGAGGTTTTATCTAAGTCACAAGCAACTTGCCGTGAGCTTGCGGTTTGGGGCCCAAGTAATGATGATTACAGTGCCACCCTTTGGGGGCAAGAAACACAGAGATGCTCACCGGGAACAGTTTCCACTGAAAGGCCCTCCCCTGGCCACTGATACCTGATATAGAAGCTGTCGCCAGGCAGGCCCTTGACCTTGGCGAACTCCTCAGGGCGGAACTGCACCTTCAGGCGGACGCCATCCTTGGGCTTCAGCATCTCCACGTAGACCTCCTCCACCGTCTTGTTGCGCACGTCCAGACTGCCATACTGCCCAGGGATAGGGGACTGGGGTCAGAAGGCAGAGGGCAGAAGCCAGCGGTGTCTTGGGCACCCATGAGGGGCTGGTTGTGGGAGGCGATTCAACTTCCCCTTAACTGGGAATCTGCCTGCCTCCTCTGCCGAGTGTCTGCTCTGTCCCCCACAGCTTCTCCCAGGAGAAACCCTGTTCCAGCCCTGCAGCCAGTAAGGGCTATTCAGAACGCAGCACTTCATCTTGCTTGCGCTACTGTATCTTTCAATATCTACGAACCACCTCTTTCATCAAACAGGAGACCCAGTGAGAAGGAGATGACACTCCCCATCAAATGAGAGTCCTGCTGCTGACAAGGGCAGAGCATCTTCCCTCTAGATGCCAGGGGCCAAGCTGGCATCTTGCTCACTTTCCGGTGATCTACCCACAGGGTCTTGGCAGCACTCAACACTGACAAGGGCTGCCAGGTGAGAGGCTCTGCTCCTCGGTCTCCTGTGTCACCTGAGACCATAGGAAGCCTGAAATGCAAACGGAGGGTGGCCTGGCCCGCTGCTCAGCAGCTCAGAACTCACCTCGAGGATGAGATCTCCCGGCACCAGGCCGTCGGGACCCTTGGCAGGACTGTCATCCTCCACCTCAGCCACAAACACCCCGTGCAGGTTCCCCCCACATAAATGCAGTCCAAGCTCCAGCTGGGACTTTTTGATGAAGACAACACGTGGCTCTGGGGTCTTCTTATTGGCGTCTCCCACCATCCTTTCAGGAAGGAAAATGCAGTTCCCCAATCATGCACAGGGAGGGAGTAGGACATGTAAATGACAAACAGTGGCTAATGCCCCACTTTCTGCTTGTTCCATGGGGTCTCAGAACCACAGGGAGTTGAAAGAGATCCCACCCCGGGCTCTAGTCCTAGTGACTTAGTTTTTAGGCAGGAGGCTGAGGCTTGGTAGAGGGGAAACCATGGCCCCAGCTCACAAAGCCAGTTGGGAAAGAGCGGAAATCAATGCTCCTGTCAATCACATGCTGCAGCCTGTGTCCCTCCCACATGGATTATACTTGTTTTCCTGAACTTGTTCAGTCTGAGAAAGGCAGAGCTGGTCTCACCATTCAGAGCACAAGAACTCATCCAGCTTTTCCCGAGCTCTGTGTTAAAGCACGGAAAGGTGTCCCTGCCATCAAAGACCTCACGACGGAGTGAGGGAGATAAATGCTAGCCAACTGAGTGAAAGGAACAGGGCAGCAAGGGAGATTGATGAGGGGGATCTCAGGGGAGAAGCCAGCAGGTGATCATAATTTTGCTGCACTCAGTTCCAATGTAACTGATCCTGAACGCAGAGCTGGCCACATTCTGGGTGAGGCCGGGGAAGCAGCTCCGTCCAGGACCGTTGAATGGCTACTGCATGCCCCGGCCCAGGTGGCCCTCTCCCCATCTCCCCTCCAGCTTCCCTGTGTGCCCTGCCTCCTCCTGATCTCTCCATACCCACCCCTGCCTGGCTAACCCCTGCTCATCCTGAACGTTTGACTTGGCTGTCACCACTCCCTGCCACACTCCTCCTAACTGCTCCATCGTGCCTGGACCCCTCCCAGCACGTCAGCTATGCCACACACACCTGGGCACTTGCCTCTCACCCTCTAAACCCAGTGCCCCTTGGAGGTGACACTGCTGTTGACACCAGAGCCCAGGGCCTAGCTGGGTGATGACTGTGTAATTCTGTCTACAGACAGACTCAGAAAATGAGTGAATGAGGAAAGGAGAGAAAGAAAAGAGGCAGAGCCAAGAACAAGTCAATGAGAAAACGAGAAAAAAAAAAACGGGGGCCAGCCCCATGGCCGAGTGGTTAAGTTCGTGGGCTCTGCTTTGACAGGCCAGGGTTTCGCCGGTTCGAATCCTGGGTGCGGACATGGAACCGCTCATCAAGCCATGCTGAGGCAGCATTCCACATGCCACAACTAGGAGGACCCACAACTAAAAACACACAACTATGTAGCGGGGGGCTTTGGGAGAAAAAAAAAGGGAAAATAAAATCTTTAAAAAAAAGAAAGAAAGAAAGGGCAGGAGGGAGGGAGACAAAAAGGAAGGGTGTGCTTCCCACCCGACATCCTGACAACCCAGTGTGCAGTCTAGCTGTCCAATACCCACGTCCTTTAGGAGACGTGCTCGGACCACAATAAAGACCCCCTGACCCGCCCCACTGGGCCAAGGTGTACAGATGGAAGGCTCACAGCATGTCTCTGCTGACCTGGAACTGGGAGTGCTCTGCTTGGCCAGGGGGGTGCCTGGGCCCTCATCCTGCTCCATCAGCGGGTCAATGACAGAGGGATGCTCCGGGGTGGTGGCACCGCTGCCCTGGAGAGTGGAGTGGATATTGGCAGGGTCCAGGTGGGAGCTAGGGATGGAGAACAGGAAGAATAAGGAGCAGCACAAAGCCCTCAGCCACCCAGAGTTACCCTCTCTCCGGCAGTGACCAGGGCTAGGCTGTGAACAGGGACCAGGTCACATGGCTCTACACCCTGAACCCTGAGAAGAGCAGATGCCTCAAGAGAATGGACTCAGGTGGTCCACCCTGCAGGATATGCCTGTCCTTTCCTCCCTACCCATCCTCAACTGAGGGATCTTCTCCGCAAGTGTTGACACGGGGACACATGAATTCAGTCCCTTTTCCTGTTTGTGCATCTCAGCCCCGCTCTTTCGCTGAGCTGAGCGAAGCTGCATGACAAGAGCGTGTCTTCCCCATCTCTCTTCTGCCCTGCAACCCACAGCACAGGGGCAGATACAAGCAGCATCTGCTTGTGGACAAGGGGCCGAACCACTTTGTGCAAGAATCCTAGCCCCCAGGCTTCAGCTCCTGGCTACCACACACCCATGCTGCACAGGGGACCCAGTCATCTGTTTCCGCATCCTACTTCACTACTCCAGGAAGAGACATCCTCCCTCCATATGTCCTTTTGCAAACTCCAGGGCTGGTCAACTCTCCTCTTATGGCAGCAGAATGCTCAGAATTTGCAGCTGGCACTCTGGGTCTCCCCACAGTGAGCTATGCACCTGCCACACCCATCTCTCCTCCCCCAGCCCAGACAGTCCCAGGCCCAGAGGCCCAGGTCCTACCTGGACCGGGAGTGGCTGCTGAGCTGGTGCATGTGTGGGTTGTACTGGGCCAGGATGGTGATGGTGTCACACTGCTGCCCGATGATGAGCCGGGCCTGCTGCTCCGTGGCACTCCGCAGGTTTATGCCATTGAACTAGGAAAGACCCAGAGCAGGCTCAGTGACTGGGGAGGGGGAATGATAACGAGACCTAGGATGACGACTTGGGGGCTACTGCTTTTCCAAGGAAGGGAGGAGGGAGAGAAGAATGCACTGCAGAAGGGCAGCTCCCGCTTACCTCAAGTAACTGGTCTCCATACTCCAGGCCAGCCTGGTATGCAATGCTCCCCCCAGTCACCTTGGAGACGTAGACACCGCCCTTCTCTCCACTCACGATAGAGATGCCCAGTGGCTCGGAGCCCTTCTGTAGCTTGACATGGCGCGGCTCCTCCACGTAGGGCCTTGGAAGAGAGCCAACAGTTTTGGGGACCAAGATGCAAAGGAAAGGTATGGAGATCTGAGGTCAAGCATGCAATCAGCTATGCAAATAGAGCCAGGGAACATTGGGGGCTCCTATTATGACACAGCTGGATGAGGACATGATGACCCCACCTTTGTATGACAGTGATACACATTCCCGCCAATTCATGCAATATAAACATCACACCCCCAAAAGGACATGGAAGTACCTGGTCCCAAAACCACAAAGAGTGGTCCATGTGAATTATAAACACTGATATACACCGGGGAAAAGCACAAAGATTTTCATAATGCTAGAGAGTTGCCTCACAATGTGCAATTTATAAACCCCAGTGGGGTCTCAAGATGCCCTGAGAGGAAAAGAAATGGCTTTTGGGATGACATTCACTCAAGAAGAAACGATAAAAAGGACCAGTTTTTATATTTACCAGTACACAGGTGATGTACAATGATCATGGAAATTAAGCTGCTGCAAACCCAAGCCGTTAAAAAGGGAGCAAACGGGGAGGCTAGGAGCAAGGTGGCAACTATGCACTTGCTGGCCAGAGGGAGCCATCCATCACGCCAGAGCAAGAAGAGGCACAAGGGAGCCTCATGACAGGCCAACCTCAGATTCCTCAGGGAAGAGGCCCTGGGCCTGGTGGCCACAGGCAATCTCAAGAGGAATTGGTGGTGGAGACATCTGGAAGGTGCAAAAGGTTAGAAAGAAAAGACAGATGCTCGGAGAAGGAAGACAACCAGAGACACCTGGAATGTAACAGACAGAAAGACAGCCAAGTGAGGCTGAGCCAGCCATCAGGACTGCACTTCACACTGCCCTGGGCTTTCCTTTCAGGACAAAATCGCAGTCAAGGGCCACAGGAGGAGCCAGCGGGAACACCATCTCCTTGGGATCCCCTCCAGAGAACACGGTAAAGGACAGGCAGCTGGAGGGCAGGCGCCTGAATCACCCACCCCTGCCACCCAGAGGCACAGGAGTCTCTTGGGCTCAGCAGGCCTCAGGCTGGATCCCTACCACTCAGGGCCCAGTCCCCTGGCGATGCTGAGATTAAAATCCTTCTTGACTTGTGCCTTCTCCTCTCCCATCTTCCAAGGTGTTCTCCCCTTCCCAAACTCACCCGCTCTGCAACGCCTTCCTCGACCCTCCAGCTCAGATGGATCAGTCCTGGCCTGCACCCTCAGTCACTTGAAGACTCAACACACATTAGAGCACCAGGCAGTTTACAGTTGTAAGAACTCTTAGTGAGCAGCCACCCCAACACTATCCTCATGCCTCCAGCCCAGGAGGACAGCACAGAGGCCCAGAGACGGGAGGAAGCTGCCTCCCAAGGCAGCTACAGGTGTGGGCAGAGCTACTTTGCTGTCCAGGGCTCCTCATTCCTCACTGTATACTCTTCCCTTTGATCTAACTCCAAACAATACATCTATCTCAATACAGGAGCAGGCAACCAAATCATAATAATAGCCATACAACAGAAGCCATGAAGCCGTTAAAAATTATATAATCAGCATTTACTGACATGGAAAGACATGGAAAGGACACACTGTCATGAGAAGACAGGTCAGCATAATTCCATTTATATAAATCTGTACAGATCTTTATGTGTCCATTCATGCATAAGAGATTTCCATGGTGGACCTTACCAAAATGTTAACAATGGCATCTCTGGGGGATGGGAATCCTTCCTTTTTAATCTCGTGAATGATCTAAATTCCTTATAGTATGCACAAGACTTTTTCTCAGAACATTAAGGCTGCTTTGTAAAACAGGTTTGTAAAGTATATTTCATAGTATTACAAATAGCTTAAGACATAATGTGAAGGAAGAAGTGTTTATGTATATAAAATAATATAAACAATAAAACATGCATTTAAACTATATATATATATCTATATCTCAGAAGGTTAACAGCAATTGAATCCTGATGAGATTATTTGTGAATTTTCATCTTTCTACTTTTCTAATTTTCCCAATTTTCTATACATAGTCCCTCCCTTATCCAAGGTTTCACTTTCCATGGTTTCAGTTACCCACAGTCAACAGGGGTCCAAAAATATTAAATGGAAAATTCCAGAAATAAACAATTCACAAGTTTTAAATTGTGCGCTGTTCTGAGTAACATGATGAAACCTGATGCTGTCCCGTTATGCCCCACCCAGGCTATAAATTATCCCTTTGTCCAGCATATTCAAACTGTATACACTATCCATCCATTAGTCATTTACTAGCTGTCTCGGGCTATGACAGTGCTTATGTTCAAGTAACCCTTGTTTTACTTAACGATGGCACCAAAGTGCAAGAGCAGTGATGCTGGCAATTCGGATATGCCAAAGAGAAGCCATCAAATGCTTCCTTTAAATGAAAAGGTGAAAGTTCTCATCTTAATAAGGAAAGGAAAAAAATCGTAAGCTGAGGTTACTAAGATCTATGCTAAGAATGAATCTTGGGGCCAGCCTGATGGCACAGCGGTTAAGTGCCCACGTCCCACTTTGGCGGCCCGGGGTTCGCCAGTTTGGATCCCGGGTGCAGACATGGCAGTGCTTGGCAAGCCATGCTGTGGTAGGCGTCCCACATATAAAGTAGAGGAAGATGGGCACGGACGTTAGCTCAGGGCCAGTCTTCCTCAGCAAAAAGAGGAGGACTGGCAGTAGTTAGCTCAGGGCTAATCTTCCTCAAAAAAAAAATGAATGAATCTTCTATCTGTGAATATGTGAAGAAAGAAAAAGAAATTCATGCTGGTTTTGTTGTTGCACTTCAAATACGTACGTATAGGAAAAAACACAGCATATATAGGGTTTGGTGCTATCTGTGGTTCCATGCATCCACGGGGGCTCTTGGAACAAATGCCCCCAGGGGTAAGAGAGGACTACTGTACTGAGCAGTTGTATGAAAATGTACTTTAGAATGCGGGAAAAAGGGGCTACTTTTAGTAAGTAATCCGTTCTTTAGTCAGATCACACACGTTAAATGTTATGCCTCTAATCTGATCCTAAGCACTGTGAGGGCAGGAGTCATTGACACTGTTCTCTCCCCTGGCACGGTTCCTGGTTCTCTGTACACTGTAGGAAGCTAAGGGGATGCCTGACCACATGTGACAAGGCCTTTTCTGTTTCTTAGGAAGCCGCTTCATTTGGGGAAGATCTTGTTTCTCAATGACCTCTCCTGGGGGAGTAAAACCACCCCCCGATGCACTACTCACTGCAGGTCTGTGCTCCTGTCTGTACCACACAGGTGAGAATGTCACAAATGTTTCCACAGGAATCACACCTGATTCCCCCATGGGCCTGGCATGCTAACGTATACTTCAGTTCCCTCTCAGGTTCTCTCTAGCTAATACTTGTTAGGTTTGTTGTCTTACAAGTTCAGATTTCCAAGTCAAATGAGATTTTCTCAATGAAGGGCCTGCCGAGCAGAGTCCCTCCCATGGCTCACAGCTACAAGGACCCTCAGCTTTTTGGATTTGAGTCAATAAGAGTAACCCTGTTCCCCTTAAAGGATTAAATAAAGACAAGTTCAAGTTTAATCAGACCTCCTAAAGACCTACATTTAGATAGAACCTCTTAAACATAAATGCGATCTAGCAAATTCCACTTTGAAGGATAACAGGGGTGCATGAGGCGTGCGCAGAGCTTGTGGGGGGAGTGATGGACATCTCAGAGGGGGCGTGTCTGGACTGACATCAGCCTAAGTTAACCTAAAACCTCAGCAGAGATCAGCCTGCATTTCAAAAGGAACCAACAAATGGCTGAGCTGTACGTTTGTGCCTCACATACTTCTTTTGTATGTGTATTTTATTTCACAATAAAAAGCTTGAGGGAGGTGGGGACAAACAACGTTGCTATGTTCTGGGGCCAAAAAGCAAAGGGTAAGAATGAGTCCTGACAGAGAAAGACAAACACCGTACGATTCCACTCCTACGTGAAAGAGAAATAAACACATGGGTAAGGAGGACAGGTTAGTGGTTACGGGGACGGGGGGTGTTAAAGGGGCCAAGGGCACATCCGTACGGTGACAGATAAGATAGACTATTGGTGGTGAGCACAATCTGGTCTATATGGAAACTGATATATAATAATGTACACCTGAGATTTACACAGTTATAAGCCAATATGACTTCAATAAGATAATTTACAAAAAAATAAAAAGAATTAGTCCTGATTCTAATTAGGGTGGGCCAGTTACCAACCACGTGACCACAGACAGATCATTCCAACTCTCTGGCCTGTTTCCTCATCTATAAGACAGAGCCAATAATAACGATGATGATGATGATGCTCACGTTGTGCGGGTTTCATGACTTAATGCATGGAAAGTACTTAATCAAGGGCCTGGGAAGCAGTGAACAGTGCCACCACATCGTCATCACCGTCAGGCTGTCTCCAGCATCATTTGCTGTAGCCCACCCCCTCCTCTGGACACACAGTGGAAGAAGCCCACTCTGTTTCTGAGCTTGCCGTCTACTTAGGCCCCTCCTCCTGCATCACGTGCCCACAGAACTTACCAGTGACATGCTGGGGCAACACAGCAGTGAATGCTATGTGACCCAAACCAGAAGGCCTCACCCTGGGATCACCTCAGTCGGAACTCTCCAACTCCTGCTACTGCTTCTTCCAACAAGCCCCTTCCCTCGACCGAGCCTGGCCCACTGTGGGGACGCACTGTCCACCACCGTGCCCCCGCACAGATGACAACATTACACTCACCTGTCCTTTCTTCGCTCCCCGAGGGCCGCAGGGTTGATGGCAATTCTGGGCAATGTGGAGGCTGAGGCCTGGGACTGGCTGCATGAGGACAGGGTGTCAATGTTCAGGGGTGACTGTGGAGGCGTGCTGCATTCGGAATGCGACAAGGAACCTGCCAAGAGAGGTGGAGGGTAATGCGGGCCACAGTCCTGCATCTCAGTTCTCCAGCACCTAAGACGAAGAGGGAGCTGCGATCCAGACCCCTGGCTCCCTGCCGTGGCCACACCACACAGCCTTGACTTCACAAGCTGGGCTTTGTGGTCTTTCTATCCCCTCACATCACCAGGCCTGAGGCTGGGCTCAACCAGTGTTTCCTGACTGGCTGAGATGACGAGGAACTTATAAGCTGTGCCCAGATACCCCATCATGAGGACAGAGTGACACAGGAGGCAGGGAGGGGGTCCTGAGAAGGTCTCACCTCTGTCAGAGCCCACAACAGACCGGGGATATCTTGGCGTTGATGGGATTTTAATGCGTTCTGCCTTGAACTGCAAGTTGCTTGAAGATCCTATGGTTCCATAAGGGGACAGAACTTTAGGCCTGTGATTAAACACCACCCCTCACTCCCTCACCACCACTTGGGTAGTCAGGAAAGACACTTGGTCATGACAAAATGCAAGGCGAGGCCCTACCATTTATCCCAGATGGGGCCTAAATGTGGAACAGTCAAGAAAAGTAGATATTTAATGCCCAGTGTCGAATAAACCGTGTAGGCCTAGTCTGTTCCAGAACAGGATCACACAAATCTCACTCCTAGGCCTGGAACAGGGACAGTAACCCAAGTGACAGAGGTGACTGCTCGCCTTCCCTCCACAATGCTGCAAGCAGCGCCACCAGTCTGTTTATGAGGTAACTGCTAGAATCTACCCTGGGTTGCATTTCCCATAAGCGAACAGCAATACTAAATCCCCAGAAAGACAGACAAGCTCAGGGACAGGGAGCATCTGGAACAACCACATGACCACTAGGGAAAGCAGAAAGGACATAGAAGAAGCCAAAGGAAATGGCTCTGAGTGCAGCACGGAGCTGACCTTGGCCCCAACAGGGGAGAGAGGCCTGTGAGGGCAGGCCACCAAGAGGTCTGGGCGTGAGGACCCAGGCAAAGATGAAAAAAGGCCAGCTCCCACCACAGCAAGGTTCTAGTGGGGCAGTTACCAAGGCGGGCGCTGGAGGGCAGTGAGTTGGACCCATGAGAGGCTCTCATCTCAGAGTAGTCGCTGCAGGCCCTGTGGCTGAGGTCCAGGCTCAGGCGGCCCTGGTGCTGGACACTGTGAGAGAATCAGACAGATGAGGGGTTTGGGAAGAAGACCAGGACCAGACGAGGCCACTAGGAAAAAACACAAGTGATGGGCCTGGGCCAAGGCCTCCCTGAGCTGGGAGAAGGGAGATCCAGGAGCCACTTGCTGTCAGCCGAGGACAGCGACTGTCCACAGGATGCTTGGAGACGGTATCTAAAAAGAGCTCTGGGGACTGGCTCTGGGGCAAGTGGTTAAGTTTGCACGCTCCGCTGCGGCAGCCCAGGGTTTGGATCCTGGGTGCGGACATGGCACCGCTTGTCAGGCCACGTTGAGGCGGCATCCCACATGCCACAACTAGAAGGAACTGCAACTAAGATATACAACTGTGTACGGGGTGGGGTTGGGGAGATAAAACAGAAAAAGAACAACAACAACAAAAAAGCTTGGCAACAGTTGTTAGCCCAGGTGCCAATCCTTAAAAAAAAAAAAAAAGATTGGCAACAGTTGTTAGCCCAGGTGCCAATCCTTAAAAAAAAGAAGATTGGCAACAGTTGTTAGCCCAGGTGCCAATCTTAAAAAAATAAACAAAAAGAGCTCTGCATGCAGTAGAAAGGGCCACGCCAATGGAGAGATGGCACATCCACTTCAGCCCTGGGCTGGGATCAGGCTCTCTGTGAGGAAGGGCCTTCTGCAGGGAAAACAGAGGCTCTGAATCCTCGGTGGGTCCAGGGAAGTAGAGCCTCTCCTCAGGGGTGGGCAGAGAGAGGCTAGACAGGCACTGAGGCCCTTGGAGAAGGACCTGCGTGCCTCGCTCAGGTGAGCACGCCGAGGAAACCGGAGGGGAGAGAGCCCAGGCATCGCCATGCCAGGCTGGAGGCAGGCAGGCCCAGTGATGTCCTTCTCTAGCGCTGCAGGGAGACTACATCTCTGCCCTGGCTAACCCTACAGTGGTCTCCGCTGCACTCAGAACACAGTCCAACGTCTGCACACTGGCTGCAGTCCCACAGGATTCCTGCCCTATGCCCTGTGCTCTCCTCCTGACTCACCATACCTTTGCCAAACTCTCTCACTCTGTCCCAACAGCTCCCTGCACTGTTCCTAGGTGCCTGGGCCGCAGCACCCACAGCCCTTCTTCTTGGGGACTCCACCCCAGGTCTTGTACAGCTGGCCTCTTCACAGTCTTTTGGCCATGGCAGCATTCCCCCCACCATGGGGCCCTCCCCACCACCGAATCTCACTCTCCACCCTCTTCAAGTCACAGCCTAGCTTGTTGCCCTGTGTTACAATCTTCAGAGCTACCCAGTACCATCTGGTATCAATCACTATGTTCATTTTTTTCTGTCTGCCTCCCACACTTGAACACAAATGTCACATGAAGAAGCTTGGCTACTTAGTTCTCCACTGTATCCCTTTGGAACTAAAACAGTCCATGGCAGGTAGTAGATGCTCAATAAAAACCTGTCAAATAATTGAATGAATGAATGAATGAATGAGTGAGTGACCTTGAACCAGTCCATTCACTTTTTAAGGCTCAATTTCCTCATCTGTAAAACAGAGACAATAGCAGTCCTTGGCTCCCAACTTTGCTGTGGTGATTCAATGAGATGATGTTTATGAAAGTCTGAGCACAGGGCCTGGCATGTGAGCACTCAAGCCTCAGCTGCCTTCACTATTACCTTTCTTTCAATACCCTTTCAAGCTCCATGTTGGGGAATAAAGAGCATCCTTAAAGTTCCCTGGGGTCCCAGCACTGCTCTAACCAGCCCCTTTCCAGTGAGGCAAGGAAGCTTCTCTGTCCATGAGCCTCTTCATGCACCAGTGGCTCTATGTCCAGGTGGGCTTGGATGGCTGGGGTGCAGGGAGGTGTGGGGTGACTTCACATACCTGGCATGCAAACCCTGGGGGCCGACCTCTCTGGGGACAGGCGGAGAGCTGCAAGGGCCAACCCTGTGGCTACGCACAGTGTAGATGGGGTTCCTCAGGATGGAGCTCACAGTGGTGCTCGGGGTCATGCTCCGGGGAACGGTGCCTAGAAATGGGCTGGGTGAGAACAATCGCCCCAAAGCACCAGCCAGCCCCGGACCTGTGCGAGCTACTGGCCTTGCTCCATCTGTAAAATGGGAGAACTCTCTTTAATGCTTCCTATTTCCCAGGCTGCTATGGGAAGAAAATACTCTGAAAAGCTAAGAGATGTCAGCGATACAAGATTAAACATCCCAGATGGGGCAGCAATTGCTAGTTCTTTGAACCTCTGGGCTGAGGACACACAGCTGCTCCTTGAAATGTCTGCCTCTACTCTCCCCGGGACTGGGCAGCCCTGTGAGCCCACACTGAGCCTCCTCCCCAGCCCTGCCCAACTGACTCACCCACAGATGCTCTGCTGGGGTAGGGTGGGGGGTTGCTGTGCCGGCTAGAGTGCCCTGGTGAGTAAGGGGACCACTCCTGGAGCTCTGGGGAGAGTTCGCCACTGGCTGGCATGCTCTTCTGCTCCTGCAAAACCAAGACGCGGTGGCTGGAAACAGGGAAATGTGCAGGCTTTTGCAAGTGATTTCTTCTCCTGTGCACTAGCTCCTCCCACTCGGACACACGAAGTGACGGTCAGGAGAAGTCATTGTTCATTCGTGTTGACTTACAACACCTGGAAGGGAAGCCCTTCCTTCAAAAATACTCTGGAAGAAAATCGCAGAGAAAGAATCCATTCTTTCAAATACACAGAGATTACGTGTGTAGAAGGTGGAATGCACATATGCATTAAGCACACATAAGTAACAATGCCACACAACTTGCACAGCTGTGTAGAGCCCTTTGTCTGCAGAGAGCATGGATTTGTTCTCCAGCTCACAGCCATCTCTTCCTTCTGGAAACGACTACAGTACCCACAAAAACAAGCCAGCCTTTCCTGCTGCCGGCTAGCAGACTCATGTGTGCTATCCTGTCTCCCTAAACCCTTCAAAGCAGGTCATGTCACCTGGTTTTGTCCAAAATCTTCTTGTTGTATAAGCAAATCAAACACTATGCCCAAGAAAGGGTTCCTCTCTTAGCATGACAGACCCACCAACTGCACACCCCACGTTACTTTCCAATCTCCTGAGGGGGCTACTTCCCACTGGCCTCCCCTGCCACCCCTTTCCCTTGGGTAGGTGCCAAGAGCAAGGGCAGAGGAGCCAAGGTTGATGGTGAGCCTGGGGACCGTTCAGGGCCACTCTGGGGCCTTCTCAGGTCAACCACTCCTCACCCTGCCTCCACCTCCTACCCGGGTGCCGGTCTCTACCTCCAGAAACTGAGTGGGAATCACGACTGGAGCAAGCTTGGGCCGAAAACTGGGAGCAGACTTTGGCCGGCGGCGCTTCTGCCCCAGCTCGTCCATCTTCTGGGAGGTGAGGTCCTCGTCACAGGACTTCTTGGCAGGCAGGTAGGAGGAATCCCCATCCCCTTCAGGGTAGTAGCTGGAAGCAATGCGGACCCTGGCCTTGCGAGGGGGCGAGGCGTGCATGGGTTCCCCAGGGTCCACATCAACGGGTAGGGCACTCGGGGGGCTGGTGGATGGGGAGCTGCCCACCAGAGTGGCCTCTGACTCAGAACTGGTTTCCAGCCTGTGCTGGAACTTAATAGAGTCGCTCCTCCTGGGAGGTTTTGGGGGTGTCAGAGGCCCCACCCTCTTGGAGGGTTGGGGGGAGTGAGCAGGCCCAGGGCCTGAGAGCAGGTAGTCTATTTTCGGGGGTGTCTGGGGGCGTTTGAAAGTGTTAGGGTCAAAGATAGACTTTCTTTGCTTTGGCTTCTTGTAAACAGAGAGCTTCTCGGGCCCTGCTGTGGAGCTGAGCATGGCCTTAGGCCAGGTCCCACCACTGTTGGCATTCTCAGACTCTGCCTTACCCAGAGGGGCCTCAGTCACCCCACAAGGGCCTGCCTCATTCTCAAAGGGCAGTAGTAGCCGCCGGCTGCGCACGTCCACCAGCCCATAGCCACGCTCCCCAGAGGTGTCTGAGCGGAAGGAGCTCAGGCTGCGCTCAGAGGTGCTGGGACAGGCCTGGGGGGAGACTGGGAAAGCTCCCCCAGGGAATGGCTTGTGCAGGAAGGAGCTGCTGCCTCCTGGGGGGCCCAACTCCTTCTTGTCCTCCAGCCTGTCTGCGTGGAAGATGTCCGTCTGCGTGGAGTTATTGTGTTGCATCAAGTTCCGTTTATTCTGAGCCTGGACCTCTGGGCCATGGGCTCGGAAACTCAACATCTTATCAGAGTCCTTGATGTTTTCAAAGATGTTCTGGCCACTCCACGAGGAGCTCTGAGGGAACACCTAAGTAGGGATCGCAGAGGAGTGAGAAAGAGATCAGGTGAGACCACAGGACCTGGAGCTGCCACTGAAAAATGTCCCTGGAGGTAGAGTGATGGCCAGGAATGCGCCACACCCCCTCCCCAAAAGACAGACAGACACGCACACACACATCCACGCATGTACACCTCTCCCTGACAGGTGAGGCTTTCTCATGAACGTGGCCACTGTGAATCCACAGAGAACCGTAAAGTTCTCTTGGCTCTAAGCCCTTTCTGAATCACCTGTACAGTGCCCTGCATATTTTTAAAAAGTTAAACGTAAAAGTAAAAAATTCATTATTACAAATACATGTCACACAGTACACTCACAGTGGATTATTATTCAGTGGTAAAAAGAAATAGCAATCAAGCCATGAAACGACATAGAGGAAACTTAAACACATTACTAAGTGGAAGAAGCCAATCTGAAAAGGATACAAACTGTATGATTCCAGCTATATGATGTTTTGGAAAAGGCAAAACTATGGAAACTGTAAAAAGATCAGTGGTTGCCAGGAGTTAGGAGAGGGAGGGATGAAAAGGTGAAGCCCAGAGGAATTTTAGGGTGGTGAAATTATTCTGTATGATAGTGTAATAATGGATATACGTCATCATACATGTGTTCAAACCCATAGAATGTACAACACCAAGAATGGATCCTCATGTAAACTATGGACTTCAGTTAACACTAATGTATTATTACTGGCTCATCAACTGCAGCGAACGTGCCCTGCTAATGAAGATATTAATGGAGGAAGCGGGGGACTACGAGAAGGCTCTGCTAGAGCCACCTTTCTATAAACCTAACACTGCTCCCAAAAAAGCATGTTAACCTTAAAGTAATTTTTAAAAACACCTCTTAGTGAATTTTTTCCAACATTCTATTATCTTCTCAACTATGTAGAAAAGTTGATAGAAAAGTACAATAAACCCATAAACCCACCATTTAGATTCTACAATATTTTGCCAAATTGTCTCTAACTATCTGCATTCCAGAACATCTGAAGGTTACAGATATTATGACAATTCACCCCTAACAACTTTAGCATATACTGCCCCCAAAATAAGGCCATTCTCCTATATAACCCCATACCATCATTATACTCAGGAAAATTAACAATTCCCTAAGGTCATCTAATTATCCACTCTAGATCCACATGCACCAACTGTGCCCAAAATATCCTTCCTAACTATTTTTCCTTTTTGTTTTAAACCAGGACCCTGTCAGGCCTCATGCATATCCTGCACTTTGTAAATAAGTACCCTTTTTCAAGGATCCCAGTGACGTGAAAAAGTAGCTCCAGTATATGGAGCTGAGGCTTCGCCAGCCCTAAGGACAGTGAGAGCAGAGCTAGGGTGGGGCGGGGGCCCTTACCTTCAGGAGGGACAGGGTCAGGGAGTCCTGGCAGCTACGCAGCAGAGATTCACACTCATTCAGAGATTTGTTGTCCAATGCAATGCCATTGATCTAGGGCCGAAGAGAGAGCCTATCAGGCCCACAGCCAGGATAGGAGCTTTGTCCACCTGCCAACCTGTGTTGGACAGTGGGCCTGGTTCTGTAAGGTACCCAAATCCGGAGTCGTCAAAGGAGAGAAAGCCTCTTCCCAGTAATGCCCATGGAGTCCAGTTAAGGGGCTTCTGGGGCAAATGAAACACACAGCCTCAAAATCACTCTAGAGGAAGATGTTTGTCTGTCTAGGACCAGAACACCAAGGGTCCCAGGGAACATCCCGGCCCTGCCACTTCCTGCTGTGTGATGCTGGACCACGGCTCAGAACTCCTTCATGCACTAAATGGAAGATAAACACCTACACCCCCAAAGGGCAGGAGGAGACTGAAACCAAGATCATGGTGTAAAAGGTCATGGATGTACCACGTGAGATGGAAGTATCATCAATGTTCACAGAGACTCTCCCTTATGCCTAAATCTCTGTCCACATCCCTCAGATGTGTTCCAATCTTTTTAAAAAGTGTATGTGCAATAGGTGAAAGGTTAGACTGGGATGAATCCACACCATGGAATACTACCCAGCAATGAGAAGGCACACACTATAGGTACACCTAACCATGTGACAGATCTCATGGCACGATGCTGAATGAGAAAAGCCATCTCAAAAGGTCACATACTTGGAATATAAACAAACACATGGACAAAGAAAACAGTTCAATGGTTACCAGGGGAAGGGGGGTCGGGGGTGGGCACAGGGGGTGAAGGGAAGCACTTATGTGGTGACAGACAAGAAATAATGTACAATGGAAATTTCACAATAAGGTAAATTATTACCGACTCAATAACAAAAAAAAGGTCACAGACTATTTGATTCTACTTAGATAATATTCTCCAACTGACAAAATGATAGAGCTGGAGAACAAATCAGTTGCCAGGGATTATGAGTAGGGGTACAGGGCTGTGGGCGTTAAAGGGGTACTACGAAGGAGATCTCTGTGGTGATGGCACAGTTCTGTATCTTGATTTTTTCTGGTTACCTAAAACGTGATAAAATGACACAGAACTATACACACACACACTATACCAATGTCTACTGCCGGTTTTGATGGTATAGTTATGTAAGATGTAAGCATTAGGGAAAACTGGGTGAAGGGTACATAGGACCTCCCTGTATTATCTTTGCAACTTTATTTATTATTATTTAACATTATAACTGAATTATAAGTATTTCTGTAATTATTTGAAAATCAAAGGGTAAAAAATATATATGCAGAGTGATTATCTTGGAGTGGTGGAATCATTTGGTTGTTTTTTTCTTTATAACTTTTCCACATCTTAAACTTTCTCATGATGGACACATATTGCTTTCAAACTCCAGCTCCCCTCAAAATCTGAAAAACATTGGCAAAGATGTGAAGCCAGGAGTGCCCCCACACACTGCAGGTGGGATTGAAGAGGCCACAATCTCTCTGGGGCACAATGGAAAGATCTTATCAAACGTTAAATGCTTATACCCACTGATCCAGCAATTTCCCCGTCCCAGGAATTCACCCACGGCACACTCCCGCGAGTCCCCATGGAAGGATGGAGCAGTGACTGTGCAGCACTACTGGTCAAGGCAAAGATACCCTGACTGTCCATCAGGGGGACTCACTCAACAGCTTGTATTGCTGCCACTAAGGAACATGGAGCTACCGAAATGACCTAGACAGATGCAAAGATGTGAATTGCAAGAACCTCAGGGTGCACTGTTAAAAACAAAAATTAGCAGCAGTGTATATTATGATCTCATCTAGGTATAAAAAAAGAATAGTGGGAGATATACATGTTTTGAACGTTTCTGGGAGAAAACACAATAAATCATTAAAAAGAGTAGCCGTCAGGGTGGGAACTGGTAGATGAGGAGTCTAGAATTGAAGGAAGAATTATTGTCACTGTGTGCCTTTTGCACAACTGGAATTCTGCATGTGTGCCGTGAACAAGTGTATGACATGTTCAATTTTAAAACAGTTAGAAGTATTAAACATGCATGCCTACAACTCAGCAATCTCACAGCATTTCAGGGGTTTGGTCCCCAAGGATGCCATCAGGTGTCCCCAGTGTGGCTATGCACACAGGTAAAGTTCATGGCAGGGCTGTTTGCAATTGCAGAAACTGAAAACAACTTATATGTCCATCAGTGGGGGCAGGATTCAAACTATAAATAATCAAACAACAGAACACCATGAGGTGGATAAAAACAATAAGGATCAACTTGGAAAGATATCCACAATGTAGGATGCAAATTGTAGAATATGATAGGATAATTCCATTATGGTATTTTACAAAGCAAACAAAACCCAGAAAACCTACATCTGTGTATACAGATTTGTATGAGCACTTATGGTCTGGCTGGGAGCACATGTTCCAAATGGGGGCAGTGATTATCTCTAGGAGCAGGATTAAAGGGAAAAGGGGGGCTACCACTTTCTATACATTTTTGTATTGCTTGAATATTTTACAGCAAACAAGTCTTACTTTGGTAATAAAAAAGAAATTTAAAAATAAATGGATATAATTTTTAGTAAAAAAGATTTTTAAAAAGTCATATAAAAATACCTATTTTTTTAAAACTGACTTAAATATACATTGATGTGTGGAATAAAGGCTGTAGAAAAATACATGAAAAATGTTAATAAAGCTTATCTATAGGTGGTAGTAACATGAAGGATTCTTATTTCCTTCCCATACTTGTTCTGTATTTCCTAATTTTTAACAGTAAACAGAAACATACCATCAGAAGAAAAAAATCAGGTTTAAATATTCACATTTAAAGAACAAGGTGAATATAAAAACTCCACTCATTATTTCTTGTTCAAACCTCCCAAACGTAATCCAGCTGTCTGCGGTGGCAGAAGGCCCCGGCTCTGTCCCCGAGACTTACTGCCACAATCCTGTCTCCCACAGCAAGGGACCCCTCCTTGGCAGCTGGGCTTCCAGGCACCACGGCGGCAGCATACACTCCATTCTCCAGGCTGATGCCGCTGTCTGCGAACCACAGTGGCCCTGGTTAATCCCTGCCCGGGTCACATTGCCCTCTGGTTGTCTCATCTCGTCTTTGTGAGATAAACTTATAAAGGGGTTGGCAGACTACGACCTGTCCATCTCAGCATCCCAGCCAGGTCACACCACCTAGGGGCTCAGCCACATACGGTCTGGTGAATCAAACACTCAGAGACAAGCAAGACCCAGGACCCAGCTGGCCCCCTGCCAGGGAAGCACATGCACTGCATTTAAGCGGCAGCAACACCTCATCCCTGGTAATGAGGTGCTCCTGAAGACACATGCATCCTCTCTGCACAAGAAAGGGGTGCTCTGCCCACTCCCACGGGCCTGCTACCTTTCTGTCCACTCAGGTTGATGTGCAGCGGCGTGACCACCTTCCCTCCCAGGGACTTCCTCCGACGCACGACCATGTTGATGGCCCCCTCCCCATGGAGGAGAGCTTTGATGGCCTGCTTCTTGTCCTTGTTGATGAGGTCCACGTCGTTGATCCTCAGCAGCCAGTCATTGACCCTGGGGAGGGGCACAGCCAGCTCAGTGCTCATGCAGGCCTTGAGACCAGGGGGCAGACCCTGCCACTCCCATTTGGGGAGCTGAATGCCAGAAAGCAGGTGCCCCAGATACACAATCAGAAGGACTTCCTCTTCCAAGAGGGTCGAATGATTAAACTCTTGGATACTGAAGCCAGACTGCCTGGGTTCAAGTCCTGGCTCTATCACTTACTAGCTGTGTGACCTAGCCCCTCTGGGCCTCAGGGTCCTCATACGTAAAATGGGGGCAAAACAGCACCTACCTCACAGGACTGTAAAGATTAATGAACTAATTACATAAAGTGCTTAAACCAATGCTTAACAAATAGTAAGCACTATTTTATATCATTGCTATTTCAAGGAGCAAGCAAGCAATGCACATTCTACACTTTCATACACACCGCCTGAGCCCCTTCCTACCCAGAGAAGCAAAGGCAGCACCTGGCGACTGGAGAAAGACCAGACTCAGAGGCAACTGCGAGACAGAGAGTCCTTTAAGAACGACACTGGCAGTTGAGCCTGCGGGCCTCAGGCAGACTGGGAGTCCCTCGACCCTGGGCTACATTCGTTTAACTGCCATCGGCTCTCAGGTCCTTTGCATTGGGTTGGAGGGTCCCACCTTCCCTCTAGAACATGGGTCTCCTCAATTCTTACCGTAAGCGGCCGTCAGCAATGCTTCCTTTGTCTACTTTAGTGACAAATATGCCACAGTCCCCTGGCAAACAAGGCTCATTCACACCTTCTGCCATATCGAACCCCAGCGCCTTCAAGTCAATGTCCTCCTGTTAAGACAGCAGCAGCAGCACACTTTACAGAGCAGTGACGAGAAACATTTGGCCCTTAAACCCCAAGCCACTCACTCCAACATGGGGACTGCCCCTTCACAATGTCTGATGGGGCACTGGGTCCCCAGGATGAAGCCTATGAGTGATTGAAATCTGCCCCTTTCAGCGACGGCAGACACACGTCCCTGCCAGCATCACCCCTAGGGGCTCTGCTCTTCCCTCTGCCTTCCAGGCACTGGGCCAGTGTCCACTGCTGGAGAGGACAGAGGAGGCCAACCTGCTGCAACCCAGCAGGGACATGTGCAAGGAAAGGATGCATTCATGTCCTCCAAAAGTTGTACCTCCTGTATCTGGGAGGAAAAGTCGTACCTCCAAACTAGCAGCTGTGAAACTGGGGACACTGCAAGAGGGCCATCCTCCCCCTCCCCCACCCAAAGTCTTTGTGTCCAGAGAGCAGGGAAGAAAAGCCATGAGGGCAGCTCACCGTCTCTCTTTCAAACTCTACAACTTCCGTTTCCCACTCCATGGAGTCCGTGTCGATGGCCGAGTCATGGGAACTGTGGGCCATCAGCTGCCGGAACCGGGCCTCCTTTTCCAACTGCGACTCCATCTGCTCCCTGTGAAGAGAGAGCCATGGGGACAGCCCTCTGGGAGGCAAAACAGCCCACCCAAGACACAGCTCGGAAACAAGGCGGACCACTCATGGAAGCTGAGTGGGGCTCCTTTCCCCCTCATACTTCATGCCAGCTTCCCAATAAATCCAGAGGGGTCAGGTCAAGGCTTCTCGAACATCAATGGGTTTTCATAGTGGTTTTTAAACAAAGACTCAGAAATTCTTCCCAAATTTATCTAGAGGTTTAATGCAACGCCCATGGAAACACCAGCAAGACCTTGTAGATACAAACAAGACTAACCTAAAATTTCTAGAGAAAGGCAAAGGGATTAGAATGGTTAAAACAATTTTGAAAATGAATTAAGTAGGAGGAACCACTCAATTTTAAGACTTTTTTTTTTTGAGGAGGAGGATTAGCCCTGAGCTAACTACTGCCAATATTCCTCTTTTTGCTGAGGAAGACTGGCCCTGAGCTAATATCCATGCCCATCTTACTCCACCTTATATGTGGGACACCTACCACAGCATGGCTTTTGCCAAGCGGTGCCACATCCGCACCTGGGATCCGAACCGGCAAACCCTGGGCCGCCGAGAAGCAGAACGTGTGAACTTAACCACTGTGCCACCGGGCCGGTCGCATTAAGACTTTTTATATAGCTACAGTAATCAAGACTGTGGAATTGCCGGGAAGACAGACACAGAGATCAATGGAAGAGAAGAAAGGATCCAGAAATAGCTCCACAAAGTATAAAAGGTGTAAAAGCAACTCAACAGAGGAGGACAGTCTTCAACCAATGATGCTGGAGACACTGGACATCAGGGCAACGGATCTCAACCTAAACACCAAACCTTACATAAAAATTAACTCAAAATGTATCATCAATTTAAATGTAAAAATATAAAACTTTTAGAAAGAAAATACTGGAGAAGATCTCTGAGATCCAGGGCTAGGCTAGCGGTTCTTAGACACAACACAACACATTAAAAATTAAAAATAAAAATCAATAGAAAATTTGAGGCGGGACCAAGATGGCGGAGTGAGAGGTCTTCTTTGTCTCTCCCCCGTCAAATCTACAACTAATTGGACATTCACCGATTAACAAAGGATATCCAGATAGCATCTCAAGACGTCTAAAAGTCTCATGCTACTACACATCGGAACGCGGACAGACTTCCCCCCCGGGAGGAGGTGGAAATAGGTGAAAGCTCTCCCACCCCCGACCCCCGACCCCCGGACAGCCTAGTTCCTGCAGGAGGCTCTCTTCCAACGGACTCCACCATAGCATCGCCAGACACCAAGGACAGGAGTGTGCACTCACCAGCGGAGCGACGGTGGAAACAGGTGACAACACCACTACCCAAGCCCCCCCGCGATCGCACCTAGGCCCAGGGGGAATTCCCCAGGGTCCTGCACCCACCGGCAGGGAAGGCTTCTGCTCGCCATTAGCAGAGAGGCGCCGCCCAGAAGCCAGAACAAAGAGAAGCTCCTGGCAGGCCCGGCACGGCATCAAACTGCAAGCTGCCACTGAGCTCACGGTCTCCGGCGCACGGCTCGGTACAGGGGGCACCCTGACTTCCTCTAGATGTGCTTGGGGACATGTTTGGTGCTCCAGCACCTGGCTCTGTGGCGCGGGGGAAGGCTTCAGGGTCCCGCGCTTCCCTGGCAGGGAAAGCCTCTGCTCGCCATTAGCAGGGAGGCCACGCCCAGAATCCAGGAATACGGGAGGCTCCCAGTGAGCGGATCCCCTGGGGCGGCTCCAGACTGCAAGCTGCCGCTGGGCTCACAGTCCCCGGTGCAGGGCTCAGTGCAGGGGGTGCCCGGACTTCCCGTAGACGTGCTTGGGGACACGGTTGGAGCTCCAGTGCCTGGCTCTGTGGCGCGGGGGAAGGCTCCGGGGTCCCACATCTCCCCGGCAGGGAAAGCCTCTGCTCGCCATCAGCAGAGAGGCCATGCCCAGAATCCAGGAAAAAGGAAAGCTCCTGGTGGGCGGATCCCCCGGGGCGGCTCCAGGCTGCAAGCTGCTGCTGGGCTCATGGTCTCCTGCACATGGGTCAGTACAGGGGGTGCCTGGACTTCCCGTGGACGCGCCTGGGGACTGGGTGGAGCTCCAACACCCGGCTCTGTGGCCCGGGGGGTTGCTCCAGGATCCCACACCCCCCCAGCAGGGAGGGCCTCTGCTTGCCATTGGCAGGGAGGCCCCACACAGCATTTAGAACCCCAGGAAGCTCCCTAGAGCAGAATTCCCCAGAAGGCAGCAGCTTACAAGCCACTGCCAGGCCTAAGGACTCTGGCCGTGTCCCAGACTAGGCAAGGGGCTCCCAGAGATCCCATGAGAGTAAAGTGGGGCAGAGTAGAGCTCCAGTGAAACGATTACGTAGCCCACGGGGGAACTCCAGGTTCTTACAGCAGCCTCAGTGAAAGCCTCTGCACAGCACTAGTGGAGAGGTCCTGACTGGCAATCACAAGGCAGGAAGGCCCTGGGGCGAAAGCAGCACAGCTAAGAGAGCTAATGACAGACTGCAGAAGATACCCATAGCTCTGCTGGGACTTACAGTGGACAAGTGTGATCTGGTGGGCTTTGTTAGGGACAAATCAGAGATTATAGGTGATCCTGCTCCTGGTTGATGGGAAAGCCCACAACACTGCTGCAGACCACAAGGAGGGAGCACGTCTAGGTGGGCTGCAGCAGTAGGCACCAGCAGCCTGAGGCCCCCTTGCGACTGCCCCCACAATTGACAAGGGACCCCACAGGACCACTGTGACTACGAGGAGGGGTCCAGACCCAGTCAGTAACAGCTGACAGGGGTCCTGGTTGGGGCAGTCTAAACAGCTGCCCCCCCACACACACCAGTCGCAACAAGTGGAAGCAGCGACTAAACTCTATCTCTATGCGGAGGCACAAACCCACACCATCAAGCAGTATGAAAGAATATATTAAATCTCCAGAACAGAAGGAAAATGATAAGCATCCAGAAAACAATCCCAAAGACAATGAAATCTACAACCTAAATGACGATGATTTCAAAACTGCCATTATGAAAACACTCAACGACCTAAAAGAGAATTCAGATAGACAACTCAACGAGTTCAGGAGCTATGTCACAAAAGAGCTTGACACCATAAAGAAGAACCAATTAGAAATACTGGAGATGAAGAACACAATGGAGGAGATTAAGAAAAATCTGGACTTTCTGAACAGTAGGGTCAATAATATGGAGGACAGAATTAGCAATTTGGAGGATAGGAATATAGAAATGCTGCAGGCAGAGGAGGAGAGAGAATTAAGACTAAAAAGAAATGAAGAAACTCTCCGAGAATTATCCGACTCAATTAGGAGATGCAACATAAGGATTATAGGTATACAAGAGGGAGAAGAGAAGGAGAAGGGGGCAGAAGGCCTGTTCAAAGAAATAATAGCTGGGAACTTTCCAAACTTGGGAAGAGAGATGGAACTTCATGTCACAGAAGCCAATAGATCTCCAAGCTTTATTAACGCAATAAGACCAACCCCAAGACATATAGTAGTGAAACTAGCAAAAGTCAATGACAAAGAGAAAATACTAAGGGCAGCCAGGCAGAAGAAAATAACTTACAAAGGAAACCCCATAAGGCTATCAGCAGATTTCTCAGGAGAGACCTTACAGTCTAGAAGAGATTGGAATGAAATATTCAAAACTCTGAAGGATAAAAACTTGCAGCCAAGAATACTCTACCCAGCAAAAATATCCTTCAAATACGATGGAGAAATAAAAACTTTCCCAGATAAACAAAAGTTAAGGGAGTTCATCACCACAAAACCTCCTCTTCAAGAATTGCTCAGGAAGAAACTCATTCCTGAAAAGTCAAAAAAAGGAAAGGGGTTACAAAATCCAGAACAAAGGAGATAAGCAGAAGGAATAATACAAAGTAACAGCTCTCCATCAGGACAAAATGCAAAAGAACCGGAAAGCAAGTGATAAAATTGCAACAGTAGGCCCCCACATTTCAATAATCACACTAAATGTGAATGGATTGAACTCTCCAATCAAAAGGCAGAGAGTGGCACAATGGATCAAACAACAAGATCCAACAATATGCTGCCTCCAGGAAACACACCTCAGCCCCAAAGACAAACACAGACTCAGAGTGAAGGGGTGGAAGACAATACTCCAAGCCAATAATGAACAAAAAGTAGACTTCAAAGCAAAACAGGTAACGAAAGACAAAGAGGGGCAGTACATAATGATAAAAGGGGTGCTCCACCAAGATGACATAACAGTCATAAATATATATGCACCTAACACAGGAGCACCAAAATTGGTGAAGAAACTCTTAACAAAACTAAAAGGAGACATCAACAGTAATAGAATAATAGTAGGGGACCTCAACACCCCATTAACACCAATGGACAGATCATCCAGACAGAAAATCAACAAGGAAATTATAGAATTAAATGAAAAATTAGACTAGATGGACCTAATAGATATATATAGGACACTTCATCCAAAAACAGCAGGTTACACATTCTTCTCAAGCACGCATGGAACATTCTCAAGGATAGACCATATCTTGGGAAACAAAGCAAGCATCAATAAGTTCAAGAGGGTTGAAATAATATCAAGCATCTTTTCTGATCACAATGCTATGAAACTAGAAATCAACTACAAGAATAAAGCTGGGAAAGGGCCAAAAATGTGGAGACTAAACAACATGCTACTGAACAAACAATGGATTATTGAAGAAATTAAAGAAGAAATCAAATATTACCAGGAGACAAACGAAAATGAAAACACACCGTACCAAATTATTTGAGACGCAGCAAAGGCAGTCCTAAGAGGAAAATTCATTGCAATACATGCTCACCTCAATAAGCAAGAAAAATCTTACATAAACAACCTCAAATGACACCTAACGGAATTAGAAAAAGAAGAACAAACAAAGCCCAAAGTCAGTAGAAGGAGGGAAATAAGAAGTAGAGCAGAAATAAATGATATTGAAACAAAAAAGACAGCAGAAAGGATCAATGAAACAAAGAGTTGGTTCTTCGAAAAAATTAACAAAATCGACAAACCCTTAGCCAGACTCACTAAGAAAAAAAGAGGGAAGACTCAAATAAATAAAATTAGAAACGAGAGAGGAGAAATCACAACAGATACTGAAGAAATACAAAGGATCATAAGAGAATACTATGAAAAACTATATGCCAACAAATTGAACAACCTAGAAGAAATGGATAAATTCCTAGACTCATACAACCTACCCAAACTGAATCAGGAAGAAATAGAGAATCTGAATAGACCAATCACAAGTAAAGAAATAGAAACAGTAATCAAAAACCTCCCCAAAAATAAGAGTCCAGGACCAGACGGCTTCTCTGGAGAATTCTACCAAACATTCAAAGAAGATTTAATACCTATCCTTCGCAAACTATTCCAGAAAATAGAGGAAGCTGGAGCACTCCCTAATACATTCTATGAAGCCAACATCACCCTGATCCCCAAACCTGACAAGGACAACACAAAGAAGGAAAACTACAGGCCAATATCACTGATGAATATAGATGCAAAAATCCTCAACAAAATTTTGGCAAACTGAATACAGCAATATATCAAAAAGATTATACACCATGATCAAGTGGGATTTATACCAGGGACACAGGGATGGTTCAACATCCACAAGTCAATCAACATGATTCACTACATTAACAATATGAGAAACAAAAGCCACATGATCATCTCAATAGATGCAGAGAAAGCATTTGACAAGATCCAACATCCATTTATGATAAAAACCCTCAATAAAATAGGTATAGAAGGAAAGTACCTCAACATAATAAAGGCCATATATGACAAACCCATAGCCAACATCATACTCAATGGACAAAAACTGAAACACATCCCTCTCAGAACAGGAACAAGACAAGGGTGCCCACTTTCACCACTCCTATTCAACATAGTACTGGAGGTGTTGGCCAGAGCTATTAGGCAGGAAAACGAAATAAAAGGAATCCAAATAGGCAACGAAGAAGTAAAACTCTCGCTGTTTGCAGACGACATGATCTTATATATAGAAAACCCCAAAGAATCCATACAAAAACTATTAGAAACAATCAACAACTACAGCAAAGTTGCAGGGTATAAAATCAACATACATAAATCAGTAGCATTTCTATATGCTAACAATGAACTAACAGAAAAAGATCTCAAGAACTCAATCCCATTCACGACTGCAACAAAAAGAATAAAATACCTTGGGATAAATTTAACCAAGGAAGTGAAAGATCTATACAACGAAAACTACAGACCTTCTTGAAAGAAATCGACGACGACATAAAGAGATGGAAAGACATTCCATGTACATGGATTGGAAGAATAAACATAGTTAAAATGTCCATACTACCTAAAGCAATCTACAGATTCAACGCTATCCCAATCAGAATTCCAATGTCATTCTCTACAGAAATCGAACAAAGAATCCAAAAATTCATATGGGGCAACAAAAGACCCCGAATTGCTAAAGCAATCCTGAGAAAGAAGAACAAAGCTGGAGGCATCACAACCCCTGACTTCAAAACATACTACAAAGCCACACTAATCAAAACAGCATGGTACTGGTACAAAAACAGATCCACAGATCAATGGAACAGAATTGAAAGCCCAGAAATAAAACCACACATCTATGGACAGCTAATCTTTAACAAAGGAGCTGAGGGCCTACAATGGAGGAAAGAAAGTCTCTTCAACAAATGGTGCTGGGAAAACTGGACAGCCACATGTAAAAGAATGAAAATCAACCATTCCTTTTCACCATTTACTAAAATAAACTCAAAATGGATCAAAGACCTAAAGATTAGGCCTGAAACAATAAGTCTTCTAGCAGAGAATATCGGCAGCACACTCTTTGACATCAGCTTCAAAAGAATTTTTTCGGACACCATAACCCCTCACATGAGGCAAACAATAGAAAGAATAAACAAATGGGACTTCATCAGGCTAAAGAGCTTCTTCAAGGCAAGGGAAAACAGGATTGAAACAAAAAAAACAGCCCACTAATTGGGAAAAAATATTCAAAAGTTATTTATCCGACAAAGGGTTAATCTCTATAATATGCAAAGAACTCACCCAACTCAACAATAAAACATCAAATAACCCAATTACAAAATGGGCAGGGGACATGAACAGACATTTCTCCAAAGAAGATATACGGATGGCCAATAGACACATGAAAAGGTGCTCATCATCACTAATCATCAGGGAAATGCAAATCAAAACTACACTAAGATATCACCTTACACCTGTTAGAATAGCAAAAATATCCAAAACCAAGAGTGACAAATGTTGGAGAGGCTGTGGAGAAAAGGGAACCCTCATACACTGTTGGTTGGAATGCAAACTGGTGCAGCCACTATGGAAAACAGTATGGAGATTCCTCAAAAAGTTAAGAATAGAAACACTTTATGACCCAGCCATCCCACTACTCGGTATCTATCCTAAGAACCTGAAATCAGCAATTTCAGAAGCTCTATGCACCCCCATCTTCATTGCAGCACTACTCACAATAGCCAAGTCATGGAACCAACCTAAGTGCCCAGCAACTGATGATTGGATAAAGAAGTTGTGGTATATATATATATATATATATATATATATATATATATATATATATACACACAATGGAATACTACTCAGCCATAACAAAGGACAAAGTTGTCCCATTCGCAACAACATGGATAGACCTTGAGAGTATTATGTTGAGTGAAATAAGCCAGACAGAGAAAGACGAACTTGGTATGACTCCACTTATAGGTGGTAGTTAACGTAGGGACAAAGAGAACTGATCGGTGGTTGTCAGGGGAAAGGGGGGTGGGGGGAGGGCACTAGGGGTGAAGTGGTGTACCTACAACATGACTAATAATGACGTACAACTGTAATTTCACAAGGATGTTAACTTTTATAACCTTAATAAAAAAATAAATTAAAAAAATAAAAAAATAAAAAAATAAAAATCAATAAATTAGACAAACAAAATTAAAAACTTAAGCTCTCAGAAAGACCGAGTTAAGAGGGTGGAAAAAGACTCAGAAACCTTGTACTATCTGCAGTGACTTGCATATAAACCTTCTCCCTAAAACCTGGGCCCAGATGACCTTTCCAATTCATCAGTGCTGCCCTTGGGCTCCTGGCACACTCGTGACCTACTTTGCATCCTGCTCAAGTAGACACACTCCCAGGTCCGTGCCTGTGTCTGGGCTGTGCTCTCACTGGCCGGCTCTAGAATGCTACCCAGCCTCCGAGGCAGAGCTCCAAAGCCTCCTCCTGGGCCACAGCCCCCAGCCCCAGCCCACCCCTGTGCAGCCTGAAGCTCTGTGCCTAATGCTTGCTGTGCTCCTCTCCTCTCACCCACCAGGGCATGTGTGCTGCTTCTGCACACTGGGGGCTTCCTGGGCAGCAACACCGACTCCCTCATCAGCATCCAGCTGGTTGGAGAATTCAGCAGAGAGGAGGTGCAAATTCAAATATACTGAATGAACAAACAAATGGAACTCGACTTTCAAGTTCCAGGCAACTCCAGCTCAATTAAAATGCAAACCCTCCTCCCAAGCTCAAGACTCCAAGGGCCCGGGCTTTGCCTCAGTTTGATTCCATCACTTGCAAGACCCAAGGTGGGTCCCGGGAGAGAGTCCATCACTTTGCCTCTTAAACCCTGAGACCTTCCTTACAGCATTCAAGCCCCAGAGGTTCTGGGGTTCTATTTAATAAATGAAGCTATTTGTTTTATGTTAGGAGATGTTACTGAATGGGGAGGAAGGGGAAGCTATCATTCCCTTCTGAAAGGTGTTGCTCGAGTGTGCAAGGCTTGCAGACTCACGAGCCTCTCACTGACCCTTCACCACTCCAACAGCTTATGAAGTTTCAAGGATGGACAGGGAGCCACTATTTCTCAACTAGGGTCTGGTTCTGGACTGCAGAGATGGCTGTCTGGCTCTGCCAATTTCTCTTTTTAAACTTTGACCTTTGTATTTTCAATCCAATGCTTAGGATCACCAAATCTGAAATTACACCCCTGGGAGCAGGCCTGTAACCGACGGAGGTTGTCTGACACCCCAACCAGTCTCCTCCAAATGGACATCCAGATAACACAGGCCGAGAGGGCCGAGGGGTAGTCACAACTGCCTTCAAAACGCAGCATCAGTCTGCCATCACTTTGTTTACTGACACACTTGTCTCTCTGATGGACCTGCCTTTGGTCTGTCTCCTCCTGTGTGCTGTGAGCCCCACAGGGCAACTTGTTCAGCCGTTTCCCCGGTGCCTACCATGGGCCTGGCCCATACAGAGCAGACACTCAGTAAATCCTTGTTGAGTTGGTGAATGAATGAGGGAGGAGGGAAAGAATGGGCAACACCTGCTTGCCTGTGCCCAAAGGGACCGCCTGAGAGCAGAACCTTCCTTCCCATGCGCTTTCGCACACGGTGCCTATCCACCTTCATGTGCTCAGCAAAGGGCTGCTGCCCCTTCTGTGCTGGTCTAAGAATTTCTTTTCGTTTTTTTGGTGAGGAAGATTCACCATGAGCTAACATCTGTTACCAATCTTCCTCTATTTTCTATGTGGGTCACAACTACAGTGTGGCCGCCGCCGAGGTCCATGCCCAGCATCCAAACCGGCAAACCCAGGCCACTGAAGCTGAATGCATCGAACTCTACCACTAGGCCACAGGGCCAGACCCAAGAATTTCTAATTAACTCTCAGCATGGAGGCAGCATTTGGACCCATTCTACTGAATGAGAAAGTCAGGCAGAGTGAAGGGACCGACAGCCAGGCCTGGACGTGGTACTGCCTTGCCCTGGGGGCAGGGGGGACCACTCCCAGGGCTCACCACAGGCAGGGGCCACCCGCACCCCCACCAGCGTACTTCAGCTCCTTCAGCTCCCGGCTGACATCATTCTTCTGTTTCCGAGTGTCATCCAGGCTGCGCAGGGCCTCAGCCAGCTCACTCACTGCCCGGTCCCGCTCCCGCCTCAGGTTGTCACAGAGGGTCCTGGCAGAGGCGGCAGAAGACAAGGTCACTGAGAGGGACAGGTGACAGAGGACTTACAGCCTGCAGTGGACAGTCCTGCAGCCCCAATTCCCAAACACCCCAGGTGCCTGCCTCATCCCCACATGCACAGAAGGAGTGCTTTAGAGTCTAGAGATGAGACCACCCAGGCCAACCCCACTGAGGGTCAGAGGGGACACTGAGGACCTGGGAGAAGAGACACCCCCACAGTTACCAGGCAAGAAGCATCGGCTTCCAAATGTCCAATGCTTGTCCCACTGCTTCACCCTCAATATGCCTAGGGTTAATGACCACCCTCCCACTCCCAGCCCACCTGGCAGGCCCCTGCGCATCCACCACATGCCTTGTAACTACCCACACATGGACCTTTCGAGGGCTATCGCCTATCCCACAACTAGACTGAGCCCCCACTCCAACAAGCATCATGCCTCATGCATCTCTGCAGCCCTGAGCTCTGTGCAGGTGCAAAGTGCAGGCTTGACAACTCTCTACTAAAGGATATGTGGCTTCTGGGACCCCAGGACCACTGCAGCCATTCAGAGAGGAGGTGGGGATAGGTGACCTGGCAGCAGCGGAGTCTGTGCTCTGTGTCACCTCTAGAATTGCATCCTGTCACTCGCTGGTCCCCGAGAGCTGGTCCCTACCTCTCCATGATCCCAAATCCCCCACCACCCTGAACCCTCATCTCCTGACCAGCCCAAGAGGACATCAGTCTTTCCTTCCAAAGGCCACAAGGAATCTTTCAGAAACTCTCAACGACCAAGTCCTTACTCACCACCACCACCACAGCCTCTCCTGGCTCCAGCCCAGCCAAGGATCAAGTCTATGCTCCTGGGCTTCCCTTTCGAAGCCTTTACAACCTGCCCTCCAGAACCCTGTCAGCCGCCTCTCCCATGACTCCCTAAATGCACGACCTGCTCCGGCCACTCCATGTCTGCGCCCTTCCCTGAGCACACCACACACCTTTCCTCATGATGTTCCCTCAGGCTGCAACTCCTGCCCCCTTTCTCCACCTGGAAAAATCCCACTCATGCTTAAGTTCTACCCTGAATACTATGCCTTTAGGGGAGACCTCCCTACCCATCCTCCCTAGTGCCATGCATGTCCCCATCACAGCTCTGACCCTGGCCCTGGAATTCACCATCCACGCATCCCCCTTCCCCACTGCCCTGCCCAATGAAGCTGCCTGCGGCCCCCACAGCACCAGCTCCTCACACACATCAACCTGCCTGGCAGCCTGGGAGGCTGTTTCTCTCCCAGGGTCTCCTTGCTAAAGGGATCTAAGGTTCTGGTACATAGTAGGCACCCAATGAATATTGGCTGACAGTATGCACATCTGATGTGTTGGTTTCATCACAAGCCCCTCAAGAAAAAAGCCTGCCCTTGTTGCACCTCATGGGCTCTCACGTGGGCACAGAGCATGCTTGGATATCCAGGTGCAGTGAATTGGGAAGAGACACAATGGAAAATTCTAACGCTATGAGACAAGGCTGGGGCATCACCTAGGGTGAGTTGGGAGGCACCTAGGTCACTCCCACCTTACCTGGACATGTAGCAATGATTCTGACCCTCCCCACAGACTCAGCGCTTCATGGAAAGACCTGAGCCAGAGCACCCCGTACCGGATGCTGTCCCGCTCTGCCACGATCTTGTCCCGTTCCTGGAAGGCCCAGTCCCGCCGGCACTTGGCCACGTCCGCCTCCTGGAGGGCTTCCTTCAGCTCCTGGCACAGAGCCTTGCACTGCTTTCGAAGGATTTCAGCCTCCTTGTTGGCTCTCCCAGCGTCCATTGTCACCGTGTCTTTGATCTGGTGGGGGTGAGGGGCACGCAGAAGGGGAGGTTTCTGGGCCTCCTGGGCTGGAAGTGCCCTCCCACCAGTGCAAGGGCCGGGGCTGAGCCCTTGGGAGTTGGGTGGAGGGAAACACTGGGATCCCAGCCAGAGCCCATCCCAGCAGACCCCTGCACTCCCCACCCCTACGACTACACGCCTCACGGCTATGCTCAGACTCCTGGTAACACCAGGCTAGGGTCCAGTCCAAACTCTAATTGTCCCACGGAGCCTGGGCCAGAATCCCAGCCATGGTGTCAGTGGCCCCGGCAGAATGTCTGCGCTGGAGTGCTTGTTGCAGGATCTGCCCTGCCAGTGAAGTGGTTGATATCTTACAGAGAGCCCACCGTGTCTGTTGAAAGAGCTCTCGTGACAAAATGTAGTGAGGGGAGTCCAACTGCAGTGAAGGGTACAGACACTGCTCATGATAATTCCCAACCCTCTGTGTCGGCAATGCCGGTTTTTATAACCTGGCATACGGAGTATAAAAAAAAAAGTATTTTTTTTAAAGATTTTATTTTTTTCCTTTTGCTCCCCAAAGCATACATAGTTGTATATTTTTAGTTGTGGGTCCTTCTAGTTGTGGCCTGTGAAATGCTGCCTCAGCACAGCTTGATAAGCGGTGCCATGTCTGCGCCCAGGATCCAAACCGGTGAAACCCTGGGCCGCCGAAGCGGAACACACAAACTTAACCACTTGGCCGCGGGGCCAGCTCCAAGTTACTTTTAAATCTGAAAATACACCAGTATTTTTCTGGGGACATCCTGTGTATCTCAGTTCATCTAAAAAGCTGAAATCCGAAGCATTTGCACCTTGACAACTCCCCAAAGCACCACATGCTCCATTAAAATTTCAAGTCAAACTCTTAAAAGCACTCAGAAAGCTCCCTCTGTGCCTCTATACTCCTTAGAGAACACGGGGAAAACGACAAATGACATCGTGAGTGTCTACTGCAAGAGTCACTCCTACTCTAACTCAAAGGCTTTCTCAAGAAGCAAAATCCAAACAAGACATGAGAGGAACAGATACTGCTGTCTCTGGACCGGGTATCTCTCCCTCTGAGTGATTAAGAATAAGGAAGACAAACACACCAAGAATGCTTCCACGGACTCCACAGCTCACTCCACAGAGTCAGAGAAGCCACCCCTGCTAAACACACTCAAAAAGACCTTAGTGGATCAACCGAGAGACCAGAGACAAGGACGAGGGATGCAGAGGAAAATACGTGGAGTCAGCTTACAATTACCCTTCACCTCTCAAATATAGAGTCAGAAAGAGTTGAAAAAAAACCGGAACAAAAAATACACCTAACTCAAGAGTGACACAGTGGCACACTCTGCTCAGACCTCACATTTCCCAATCGATTCAAATTATTTGTTTTGATTTTTTTCCTGCTTTTATGCAGTCTTGAATGTTTGTTTAGTTTGCTATTTTTTAAAAATGATTTTTATTAATTCTGTCAATAATTTATTATAAGTAATAGGTTTAACAATAACTTTTTTACATTTTACTTGGTGTTGTACATTAATACAGTTTTATATTCAAAATGTGTTAACATACGGTTTCACTGAAAGGTTTTCCATCTTGCTCTGGATAATCATCTGAAGCTGAGGGCCACAGATGGAGACACCACGAGAGGCCAGCGCTGAGGAATCAGGCAGCTCTCCCCTCTCCCCCATCTCTCCTTCCTTCCCACTGGGCCCCCATCATTGCTGGTCTCCAAGATGAATCCACCCCCAAAACACTGTTTCTTTATGAGAAACACAAGAAGTACATACTTAGTTTTATTGGGAGAGAACAGTAGGAATGAGGTATCTTAAACGGGGTGGTAGAATTTGGGAGCTGGGGCCTCCCGATTTACTCTGAGGAAGCGCAGAGTCTAGGAAGTGACTACCCCAGGTCCCACCCACTGGGGAGAGCTGAACCCAGATCCCAGGTCTTCAGACTCTCACTCCACTGCTCCTTACTCTATACTGTACCGTCCCCAAACATCAGCCCTTAGTCTGCAAAAGCACCAAGATCTGCCCACTCTGGGTGATCTTGGGGCCAGGCTCAGGAAGACATGGGCTGGTTTTCAAGAGACACTTGCCCAGCCCAGGCCTGAGGCCAACAAGAAAGGCCTATGGGCTGCAACTCAGCCCCCTGCAGGGGTAGAGCCCACGCCAGGGTCCCAGGGACACCTGTCTCTTCCATTCAGACAACATCTCCCAGCCTCTAAGTTCTTGAAATGCTACCCTGGTCCTCTGCCTTGTCTTCTGTCACACTGTTCCCTATAGCACTTCCTCCTCTCACACGTGTTGACTCTCTGTCCACCAGTGCCAAGCTCAGCTCCTCAAGCAGGACTGAAGTCGGAGATGCAAGTGCACTCAGGGGCAGCAGGAAGGTAGGGACACGGGAAGCCACTGCCAGCAGGAGTGACCGAGCTGCGCTTTCTATGGGACACGGACTCGAGTAGAGGGGCCTGTCCTGGGAAGCGACTTGTTATCTGGAAGCTGCTCTGTTACAGGCAGCAGGGCCCACAGCATCCCAGTGACAGAGATCAGCTGCCCCAGGCAGTTCCTCCACCCTCCTGAAGGCAGTGAGCCTTTACCAGACCCCGTCAGGCGACGCCAGAGGCCGGGACAGTGGCCCTTGGGAGGGAAGCTCCCGTGGACACGCCCCCTCTGGGAGGCGGGAAGCAGGAGAGAGAGCTGAGCTGACCTGGTCTCCAGAGTAAGGCAAAGACCCTGATAGGTCCCCTGACCGCCCTCTCTTTGTTACAATCCACTCTGGAGAAGAGAGTAGAAAGAGAGGACGACAGTGAGAGAGGAGAAGGGGCACCAAGAGGGAGGTACACAGAGAAGGGAAGAGAGCGTAGGGAAGGCACAGCTCGTGAGAAAGAAAAAGAACCCCTCCCTCAGCTGAGCAGAATGGAGACAGTTCTGAGACCAGGGGCCGTGTCCCTTGCACTGCCAGCACTTAGCACTGCCTGGGCATAAGGAGGCACCACAGTCTGCAGAAAGGCTCACAGGCCCTGCCTCCACCTTGGGCATCAGCCCTGCCTCATGCTCAGTCCAGAGGGCTCTGGCTACAACAGTTCAACACTCACCATCCCTTGCCAATTTGCCCGACCTTTAATACCTTGCTTTTCGCTTCTCACAGACCAATGTTAATGCCTGCACTCTCACTGACCTGCACAGAAAAGCAGAATGGAGAGGCATGAACAGAGAACTAAGTCAATGGGAAAAAAAGTCTATTCTGATCAAGTTCATAGCCTAAAGAGAGCCACAACACCAACCAACAGGATGGAAGAGAATCCCAAATAGGGGGAGTCCACGGGCCCATCCAAGGCACACCTGGACTTGGGGTTGAGACGTGTCAGCCATGAGGCTGAGGTAGGACAGATGCAGAGAATCCAAGGAGCCAAGCCCATTTGCAGTGCCTCCTGACCTTGGAGACATGACCCCAGGGAACAAGGCTTTAGCATGGCCTCAGGCTCAGACTCGTTTACCATCTTCCCAGTAGGGGCCTGACTGCCCCTTTAAAAAGTAGACTCCTCAGATGTTGAGAGAAAAGAACCCCTGAGGGTGCTCCTCCAGACTAGAAGGCCAAAGGTGCCTATGGCTGTGGGAACTTGGTCTTGGGGTCTTGCTTCTTAATCAGCAAGTTCTTGAGACACCCACTGACCTTCAGCACAAGACTGACCTACAATTACTGAACTACAGGTGTGAGTGTGACATTGTCTGTGCATGGAGCACACACGTCTGTGCGTCTCATCTGACTTTCTTCCTACACTGTAAGCTCTGGATGCTCAGGGCCACAGCTGGACCTCCCCTTGCGTCCCCTGTAGCCCAGACTACAGCTGGGCACTGAGCGTGAGCTTAGCAGTTACCTGGGCAGTGGCTGATGACCCAGCCAGCAAGCAGGCATAAGATGAGAAGCTCTTCGCTCCGACTCAGAAGGACACTGCTGTTTTGGACACCAAGGGCTCTGCAGCCCTTCCCCCCTCGCGGCTTTCCCAGAGCTGGGAGGCCGGCTGCCCAGCCGCCTACCTGTCGCAACACCTCCATCTCCTCACTGGCCGCCGCCTTCTCAGACGTGCTGCTCTTGAGCTTGGATTCGGCCAGCTCCACCTCGGTCTGCAGCTTGTCTAACTCAGAGATGACTTGGTCGCGCTCGCTCATGATGAGCTTGTACTCGCTGTACACCGCGTCCCGCTCCTCCTTGTACTTCTCTGACTCCTTTGCAGTCTTCACCTGTGTGGTCCTCAGCTCCGTCAGCTCTGACTGCAGCAGCTCCATCTCCCACTGCAGGTCTTTGTTCTGGGCCGTGGCCTTGTTCAGCTCATGGTGTATTGCCTCGAACCTGGGGGAGAAAGGCAGCCAGGACACAGGGAGGTGGGGACCTGCCCGGTCAGCTCCACTGTGCTGGACAGTCAAGCATGAAGTTTCAAGTGAGGTCATTCTCTGCACTCCCGAGAGAAAAGTCACGGAGTACCAGTTCCCCGGACCTGGAATTTTACTCAGCCTTTCCAGAGCTGAACTGAGGACTTCATGCCCTCTGCTCTACTAGAAATAACAGCGTATTTCTTCCACAGTCAAGCTACATTATTCAAAAAAATAAAAACAAAACGATGTTAGAATCACAGCATATGAGAGACAAAAGTAGCCTTAACGGTCATTTAGTCCAACCACCTCCTTTACAGATAGAGGTGACAAGGCTTTGAGACATAGGCGACTTGCCCAAAGCCACCAGGTTAGGGCGAGAGCACACAGCTCCCTCCAGGCCAGGAGGCACCTTCCACACAGGCAACCCTGCACACTAGAGCCTGCAGCTCTCGAGCAGCACCTCTGAGAGGGTGGTCCCGAGAACGTCTATCCTGCACAGAGCTCCCTTAAGATGGTGTTCTCAGATGACTGAGGTTCGGGACACACTGCATGCTGTGCCACCCTCTTGGAGAGTCTGGGGCACGGTGTCTGAGTGAAGGTTCTGAAAAGTCTCACAGGGCAGACACCTGTCTGTGTGCACCCTGGCAGTTCCCAAACCTTTCTATATCCAGAAAACACTTTTCATATGAAACCGATGAGTGCTCCAGAACTGGTGTTTTGCAGGAATGTACTTTATGAAACACTATTTGAGGGCAGGGGTCACACCCTACAAATTACATACCTTAATAAAAAATGAAACTTTAGAAGAAACAATGCCTAGGACAAGTGACTAACAAAGAGAGGAGAGGCTTGTGGGGAGACCTAAGAAACAGAGTATGTGAGAACACACCAGAGCTGTGCAGATGGAGAAAGCACAATTCCCAAGACACATTGAGTGTCAAGAAAACGTTTGCTGGAGATAAGTATTTTCTGACTGAAAAAGCAAAATTACTTGTGCTGTTTCTACCCACCCCACCCCCACCAAACGGCTGGGAGGCTTCTAGATACCCACAAGCCCACAATGGAGAGTGGCCCCAGGGCAGAGAAGACCCATTTGGCCCTCTGGTGATTATGGAGCCGGAGACAGGCTGGCTCTGCTCCCTCCCACTGCAGCCTCAGCTCCTACCTCCGCAAGGAGAGAGCACATTGGTGCTGCAGCTGGATGGCTGTGTCCCTCTGTTGGGTCAGCATTTCCGTCTGCTTCAGCAGGCGCTGGTTCTCTTCCTCCAACTGTTCCAGGCGGCTCAAGTCTGAGTTGTGGATGGCGACTTTCTCACTGTACCTCTTCCGAAGGGCATCATAGTCCTTCTTGACCACCTCCAGTTTGTCCATGGCGGTGTCGTACAGCTTGTTGAGAATTTCTGATGACCCATTGTGCTTCAACACCTGGGGACCAGACGGTCACACTTACCAATGGAAGGACAGACTCATCACTCTCACCTCCATCTGTCTGGAGGTACTATTGTTGGTAAGGGAGGGGAGGCCACACCCTCTGGCCTTCGGGAGTCTCAGGCTGATTCCACAGGCCCTGCAGACACACTTGGTCCATTCATTCATTCACAGATATTTCTTAAGTAGTGTGCAGAAGAGTTGCCAAACAGACCTGAGACTTCTGTCCTTAGAAGGGCCTGTTTGCAAGCTGACCCTTGGCTGGCGTCTGGGAACCTGAATGACAAACAGTTGCACACACTGATAGAAAACTTCCCCACAGGGATAAGAGGGCTTCCCAGGGCCTGACCTGGACAGTGTGGCTTAGGCTGAGTACCTGCTTTCTTCTGGGGGTCTGACATTTCAGTACACGCTAGGCAGAGGGAGCCTACGTGGCCAGCCCCCAGCAAAAACCCTGGGCAGGAAGTATCTCAAGGGTTTCCCTGGCAATGACACTTCATGCATGTTGTCATGATTCAGTGCTGGGGAACTAAGCGTCTTATGTGACTCCACAGGGGAGGACATCTGGAAACGTACACCTGGTCTCCTCTGGACTTCACCCCACACACCTCTTCCCTTTGCTGATTTCACTTTGTGTCCCTTCACTGAAACAAATTTTAGCCATGAGTATGATCATATGCTGAACTTTGTGAGTCCTCCTAACAAATCCCCGATGGTGGTGTCGAGGACCTCCAACACAAGTCCCTACTATGTCCAGTACAGCTCTAGATGCTGGTGATGCTGGACAGGACACACAAAGACCTTTTATCCTGATGGAAGGATACAACTTACATAGACAGACAGAGATAGGTAGGGAGGGCGAGAGGTAGATAGATCAAATAAAATAACTTCAGAGCATAATAAGGGCTATCAAGAAATTAAAAAATAAAACAGGATAATGAGCAGCAGAGTAGAAGGCCATGAGAGAGGCTAACACCTAAGGAGGTTCTCTGAGAAGGTGACTTCTAAGCTTGGATGCAAATGAAGAGCAGCAGCCCAGAGCACACGCAGCAGAGGGGAGAACAAGTGCAAAGGTCCCAGGGTAGGAATCCCCAGCCATATTCCAGGCACAAAGAGAAGGGCAGGGCAGAGCCACCGGAGCCCAGTGAATATGGAGGAGGGGGGTCAAAAGGAGGCATAGCTTCAAGGCTCACGGTGAAGCACGCCTCCTGAAATGGGAGCCGTAGGAGGGTTCTAAGCAAGGAAGCGTTCAACTCTGAATTACAGGAACTAAGCGCTCTGGGGTGCTGCTCCAGAGAGTAAACAACAAGTTAAGAGGCTGTCAGGGGCCTGCTGACTTCTGCTGAGCACCTCAGGGGATCTGAGCCTTTGGGAGGGTCAGTCCACATCTCTGGGTTTCAGTTTCCTTATTCCTCAATAACAGGACTGAACCAGAAAAGCTTGCTTAGCCGTTCCAGCTCCCACAGTCCAGGAATCACCTGGCTTGTTCAGCAGAGACCTGAGTTATCAGATCTTTTCAGCCTAGAGAACCAGAACCCAGGGCTGCTGCATATTCCCTTCAGAGGGAGGGTTAGCCATCAATAAACACAATTAACAGGAAAAGCCAAAGAAGAGCTAATTAAAAAATCAGATTCACGGAAACAAGGAAAGTGAGTGGCTCATCTAAGAGCTAAGCACCAGCTCCTAGGGCTGCGGGCTGCAGGAGCGTCTCAGAAATCAGCTTCCTCAGGGCTTTCAGTCTTCCTCCTTTTTCTTTTTTTCTTTCTTTCTCTCTCTTTTTTTTAAAGCAAAACTCTTTCCTTCAAAGGAAATCTTAACAAGGACACCAAAATACAAAACATTTTAAGAAACAGTATAGGTTCCTCGGGCAATTAAAATCTTCACTGTTTTGTAAAAATGCCTCACTGCTGCAGATCATGACTGCACACTGAGAAACCGGAGAAAACCACCGACTGAGCCCTACTCTGTCATTTAAAGTCTTTGTTCTTTTAAAAGGAATATCTTCAAACATACAGAAAAGCATAGCAAATAATGTAACAAAATTTTAAGTACCCACCACTTAGCTCTAATCTTGGTATCTTGTCACATGTCTCAAATTGCTTTTCAAAGAAATAAAACATTACAGGTGTTTCTAAAGCCCCCCAAATACCCTTCTCTTATCCAATAGGCCTCTCCTCCCCCCCAGAATTAATCTCTTCCCTAAATTTGCTGCTGACCATCTGCGTGCATAACATTTTATTTACACTATCTATGTATTTAATGAAAGTCTCTAAAGGCCTCACACTACATGTACTTCTTTCTCTTCAAGGCTGCTTCTGAGGTTTGGTCAAGCGATGCAGGCAGTCTGTCACTGTGTGAACACGTCACACCACCTCCTTTTTCCAGCGGATGGACGTTTACACTGTCTCCATGTTTCTGCTGTACACCTGTCCTCTCCCACACCTGGGAGAGTCTTCTCTAGGGGGACACCAAGAAGCAGAGCAGCTAAGTGGCAGGATAAGGACTTTTTCACACGTACTGGACAATATCAAATTGCTCTCCAAAGTGGCCGTACTGATTCATATTCCACCAGCTGTGGGCAGGAGTTCTGAGAGTTACTGTCATCAACGATCCTCACCAAGATCTCACACAGTCCGATAATTCTTTTAATTTTGAATTGTGGTGAAATACACATAACATAAAACCGTCTTAACCATTTTTAAAATATCTAAACGTATGTTTCCGTAGTGTTACATATATTCACACTGTTGTGCAACCAATCTCCAGAACTTTTTCATCTTACAAAACTGAAACTCTATCCATTAACAACTCCCCATTCCTCCTCCCCCCAGCCCCTGGCACCACCCTTCTACTTTCTTTTCTTTTCTTAAAAATATTTTATTTTTCCTTTTTTTCCCCAAAGCCCCCTGGTACATAGTTGTGTATTTTTAGTTGTAGGTCCTTCTAGTTGTAGCATGTGGGATGCCGCCCCGGCATGGCCCGATGAGCAGTGCCATGTCGGCGCCCAGAACTCGAACCGGCGAAACCCTGGGCCGCCAAAGCGGAGCACACGAACTTAACCACTCGGCCACAGGGCTGGCCCTACCACCCTTCTACTTTCCGTTTCTATCAATCTGACTACTCTAAGCACCTCACATAAATGGAATCATATGGTATTTATCTTTTTGTGACTGACATTTCATTTAGTATAATGTCCTCAAGGTTCATCTACTTTGCAGTATGCGATAAGATTTCCTTCCTTTTGAAGGGTGAAAATATCCCACTGTATGTATGTTCCACAATTGTGTGTGTCCATTCATTCACTGAAGGACATTCCTGTTGTTTCTATTCTTGGTTACTGTGAAATGGTCAGATTGTTTTAAAGTATTACCAATCGCATGGACCAAAAATAAGGTCTTTTTAACTTGCATTCCCGATTACTAGAAAAATGGAGCAACTCTCCTTATGTTTACTGACTACAGACACTTTCTCTTCTATGAATCTCCTGTCCACAGCTTTCACTTCCCCACACCTCCCTGCCTCCTTCCCCTCCTGCTGTTCTCTCTCTCTTCCTTTCTTCCTGTAGGATTTATTTTTAAATTCCAGGTGCTAATCCTTTCCTAGTCATATTTATTACAAATATCTTCTCCCAATATATGGCTTTTAAATTTCCTTGCAGTGTCTTTTGTTAAACTGAAGTTTCACATTTTAATACAGTAAAATCTATCAATCATTTCTTTTATGGCTTGGGCTTTGGTTGTTTTATTTAAGAAGTTCTTTTCTTCCTACTCTGAGATCATGAAAATAGTCTCCTATTATCTTTTCTAAAAAGTGTTCGTTTTACTTTTCACATTTAAATATTTAAATGACTTGGAATGTATTTCTGTGTATGGTGTGAGACAGAGATACAACACTGTTCTTTTCTGTAAGTCACCAGACAAAAGAGAGCTGGGTTCCTGAGTGCAGGACAGAGTGAGGACGTCTGAATTTGTCCAGATGCATTCAGTGGGGCTGAGGACACCAAGGACACCACTGATGCCGCGCCCAGCACTGAGAGCTGGGAAGGAACATGTGCCCGCACATACCCAGGACACAGAGCCAATGGAGAGCTCTCTGGACCTGGGTCAACCAGTGCCTTCCACTTACATCTGGAAAAATTCCAGCTTCTACACTGGATTGCCCTGATTTGTGGGCAGTACCTCAGACACTCCAACTACAAATCACCTTGAGGCCGGCCCAGTGGCGCAGTGGTTAAGTTTGCACGTTCCACTTCAGGAGCCCAGGGTTGGCCAATTCAGATCCCAGATGCGGACCTACACACTGCTTGTCAAGCCCTGCTGTGGCGGTATGCCATATATAAAGTAGAGGAAGATGGGCACGGATTCACCTCACCTCAAATGTTTTCCTCTCTAAACATCCCCTAAGCCAGGTGAGAACCACAGTGTCTCCAAATGACTCGAGCAGTTATTGCAGAACAAAAGCACTGCTGCCATTCCCTGAGTTTCCCACAAGGTGGCAACCCTGGGTAGACCAACCAAAAGTGCTCTACTATTGTCGTGCCTTCTAAGTTTCATTAAGAAACAAATTTTAAAGGCGGCCTTAAAATGATGCAAACAAAGACCTAGTTCTGGTCATCCTGGTCCCTTGCTGGCCCAGCAGAGCCCGTGTTCACCAGCCCACAACAGAATCTTGAGTTTACACCATGGCTTGGTCTTTCTTCATTGAGAATAGTCCCCAAAATGCCCTAACCGTGGGAGCTTGGGTTAGCACCTGCGTGACAACCCAGGGACAATTCAGGGCAGAGTGACCAGCTGCCAGGGTGGGTCACGAGTTCCCGGTGAGATGGGGCTGGTCAGGGAAAATCCCAGGGCAGACCCAAGGATCCCTTCTGATGTTCAATCCAGCTCTGATAGCATGACGGGATCCTGGTCAGAAGGGAGCTGGGGAGATCAGGCTGACACCCTCTGCTGTTTGGGCCATGACTCCGCCCATTCCACAGGTGAAACTCTGCACAAGAA